CCCCCCCCTCCTTCTTGGGCCCCCCATATCTAGTACAGAGCATCACCTAATCGGCGCAATAGTTTGAGAAAGCCCCCAAGACAGCACTCCAGGAGCGCAAAATTCGTGTGAACTGGCTGGCCGCCGAGGATGCCCCAGTTGAGGAACAAGGAGTCGAGGCGACTGGCGTAAGTTGTCATTTTAGCCCCTTGCTTCCCATTCTTCACTTAGTTGACTAATTACGCATTGTGCAGAATGTGCCGGATGAAGAGCCTCCTGCCTATACTTCGCCGCCGAACCCCAACTATCAGACTCCTGCTGCTGCGCTTACGAAGAGCGCGAACGACACGTCACCCATCCCGCCGCCAGATTTCAGCGACAAGCCCAAGCGGGAAGTCTCCACCCCGCAGATCATCGAAAGCTCGGCCACGTCTTCAAAGTCACCCGTAGCAAGTGCGAGTGACGACTTGAGAGCCCAATTGTCCGAGGCCAATTCGCAAATCTCAGCGCTGAAGGAGAAGCTGGCAGACCAGGGTTTGAGACAGCGAAAGATCGGAACCGACGCGGAGAAGATGCCCGCGCCATTGGCGCAACAGCAGCCACAGTCCGTGGAGGCTGGTGTTCCCGTGCAGATCGTGGCGGGTCTATGCCTGCTAAGCTTCTTGATCGCCTACTTCTTCTTCTGACCGTCTTGAACCTTCTCTCTCCTCTGTGTCCACTCTTTTTGAATTTCCTTTCCTGTGACCCCCTTTTCCCATCATGTTTCTTTACAGACCAACTGTATTCCCTTCTGCCAATTCCCTTGCTTTACTACGTTCATAACAACAGCAGTGCTACGGTGCTATTATTTATTCTTTGTGACAGCCCGTTTATTCTTCTTCATGGTCGTTCTGAGTCGGCCCGGTCTTCCCATGCCGTTTTCTTCTACTTGAGCAAGCACACTTGTTTCTTTTCATTGTCTTGTTACTTCTTCATATTTGATGATATGATGTAAATGGAGGCAGAGTTCTTGTTTCAGCCAAACATGAAAACTCGAGATTCTATCGTCCAAGGTCGCGGCGACATTAAGCTATGCTTGCGACATCTGGCCGCTGATAATACATTCCACATTGGCACCTTCCGGTATTATATGTCCTATGCGCCATCAAGTCGCGAGTCTTTCCGGCTTTGAGTTTGTCGGGTCATGACTCCGTGGTCTCCGGCTCTCCTCAACCACAGTTTTTCCTTTTTCTCGTTGTCTTCGGCCCTCCACCTTGTTCGATGAGCGAGAACTTTTTTTTACTAGACGAAATTCATGCGTTCCTGAACCAGGCAGTGAAATCCCACTGAGCTAATTACGATGATGCCACACCACGACTGTTCATAAATCCATGCCGGGGGTCTCACCCTTTTGTTCCTTTTATGCTGCTTCCCATATTGTTCCAATAGCTGATAGTTCCAAGATAATGAATCTCTCTCTGAAGCTATGGGTTACTTTCCATGCATTTGCTTTGTTTTTGGCGATAGTCATGATACAGATACTTATTGCAACCCAGGAGATCTCATCTTATTCATGAACATGACTCGGGGACCCGCACACGAAGTTTGTGAAGAAAGAAAACCAAAGCTGAAGACCAAACGGGGGAATTCCTGTCATGTCTAATGGTAGGTATACATAGGGGGGTTAGGTACACTTCAGAAGGGCAAGGCGGCGGGGTTCATCACTCAATCCACAAAAGGCGGCGTGTGTATACAAAGACATGATGAGGGTAGTTTAGATAGGGCGAGCAAAGGAAATCAGTTCTGGATCTCGCTCTCCTTCCATCCACCGCCGGATTCCTGCGGACCAGCCGCCGAAAAAGCCGAGATGCCCTCTCCACCACGCCCATTGCCACCAGCTCCGCCACCTACGAGACGGCCCCCCTGCGCTCGTTTGACGCGACACCACATGCCCACGTTCTTATCCAAGATGAACGTCCAGATCACCCACACCCAGCTGTGGTGGCAGGGCAGGGGCTCGTAGAACTCCCTGGCGATGCGGTGTAGTTCGTGCAGTCGGGTCCACGGGATCGCGGGGAAGTCGTGGTGCTCGTTGTGCAGGCCGACGTTGTAGGTGAAGAAATTGAGGGGCCCGTAGTAGGAGTATGTTTCCGGCGGCGGGAGCGAGTCCAGCGGATGCGGCGCCGTGGACTTCTGCTCCTCCTTCGGGTTCTGGAGCGCCTGGAGGGACTCGGTGCCGTGCGAGACCTGGGAGAAGAAGTAGTGCTCCGCGATGAAGTGGCCGGCGCAGGGGTGGAGGGAGCCGGCGAGGAACGAGCTCATGAGGAGGTAGAGAACGGGTTGGATGGAGCCGCCGCAGAACTGGATGAGGGCGTAGTCGAAGGAGAGCTGCACGGCAAGGTTGAGAAGGTGAATGGAGGTGAAGGGCGGGCTGTAGATGAACATGGGCCGGACGGCGTAGAAGAAGATCTGGAAGGTGCAGAAGAATGCCTTGCCCAGGAGCGAATCCAGGAAGAAGGCTTCCACGGCGGTGGGAAGATCGGTGTCCAGACCGGTCACACCGAGGGACTTGTGATGCGTGAGGTGGTAAGGCTGTGGGATCACGATGGAGTTTCAGGTTAGCAATTCCCGTATACGGTCACGTCGCCACATACCCGTCACGAGCGTGCGGGGGATGTTGGGGTTCGGTGTAGCCACCTACCCTGAATGCAGCACTGTAGGGCAAGCCAATGGGAAGGTTGGCGAAGATCGCCAGTAGTCTGTTTGCCAATGCGGAGCGGAAGGCAAGGTTGTGTGAGATCTCATGGATGGCGAGGAAGAGGTTCTGGTTGGAAGTGGCCCCAATCACGTATGCAGTTGCGAGGAATTTCCAGGACAGCATGGAGGTATTGCGGAGAAGATAGGCGCAGAGGATTTGAAGAGAGACGACTCCCAGAACGACATATTTGGTGAGTGGCTCCGGTCCACAGAGCTTGGTAACCTACATACAGAAACGAGAGCTGTTAACATTGACAGTCCGGCAGAGATGGTGGAATGGATACGACGCACCTCTGGATGGGCTTTGATGATAGCCAATCGCCTCGATCGATGGGGCTCTTCCGTATAGGTCCAGAAAAAATGATCCTCGACAGCCGATTTCTCTGGAGGCGCGATCCTCCCGGAGGGCTGAGCATCCTGTGCCGTGACCTGGGGATCCTGGCTCTTGGCCGCGGAGACGCGGAGATGCGGCGAAGTTCCAGCCGTGGCCGCTTCGACAACAGAGGAGGACATACTGAATAGCTCAGCGATTGGGGTGGGGAAGGACGAAAAGAAAGGTTGATCTAATGGCTACTGGGCGCCATGAATGAAAAAGGAGGGAGACAAAGAAGTAAGGAGGGTGCAAGGTGGAAACAAAAGTGATCTGATTAAGCAGGCAGCTGAGAGGACGGTTCGGAGCACACGCTTTCCACGTGGGGCTACCCGCATCCCGACTTGTGGTTTGATCCAGCTCTCTTTTCCTTTTAAATCGGTTGTTGTTGTTGTTGTTTACAAGAACATCCATCCCTCAATTGAGTGAAGACGGGTCAATGAGGACCCTGGAAACGCCGGTACAATTCGTTCTTTTCCTACACAACCCTGTTCTGTGTTTTCTATATATGCTATTGGAGCAAACATGTCGCATGTTGTGGCAAAAATTCATAGGCGGAAAAAGAGTCATCTTAGTAGTCGTCTCCGCGACTGATCACCTCCTTTACATTAGGTCGGAGGACGATGGTCTAGGAGAAGGTCAGTGTGGGTTCAAGAAATGCTAGCAACACTATAGTGAGAACATACATGTTCGTACTGGGCAGTGTAAGAGCCCTTAATATCGCAAAGCGGGGGGTAGTCCTGGACAATGCCCGACTGCACCAGGTTGTTCAGCTGTAAAGTATGTTAGCACTCGTCCGATGTCGAAATGCTGTCGAAATGCCTACCCCGAGGAGGTACTTGTCTTGGCCCAACCGGTCGAGGTACCGACGACAGAAGGGAAGAGTGCCAAAATTCTTGTTGATAACGTTCAACAGATTCTTGGCGGAAGAAAGACGCAAAGGCACCGGAGCAGCGTTAGGGACCAGAGCGTAGTGAGAGGTTTCCATCTAGGCCGCGGTCGTCAGTAAGCATGTAGATCGACTTGGATACAAAGCACTCACATCCTCGTGCACATAACCCTTTCCGGTACTTCCAAAGGTTTCAATGGCGAAGACTTCACCCTCCTCCATCTTGGTCTGATCTCCGCCCTTCACAATGGGAACGCTCTTCCCACCGTGGATGATGTGTTGGTCAATGTTGTGACCGTTGAGGTTTCGAATACATTTAACGGGGTGCATAGTTCCGTTAATTTCGCATTCGTAACTCTCCATGACTTCCTGAATAGCGGCACCGATGTCACTCATGCGAACGTCAATACCGGCTTCCTATCCACCCAAAAGTCATTAGTTCAATGTGTGGGGGAAACCATTCGGGGCACCGAAGTCATACCCGAATACCAGTGTTGGTGGCGTCCTTGACAGCCGCCAGAAGAGGGTCATAGACAGGATCGAAGGCAACGGTGAAGGCACTGTCGACGATCCGTCCGTTGATGTGGGCTCCGAAATCGACCTTCATGACATCGCTCTCCTGCAACACCATCTTGTTGCCCGCATTGGGTGTATAGTGGGCGGCACAGTGGTTCAGACTCAGACCACAAGGGAACCCCATACCACCCTTGATGTTGTCACCCTCCTCCAGGCCCTGGTGGCCAGTCAGAGCCCGAACAGCGTCCTCGATGCCCTCGGCGATTTCCGTCAGAGTCTGGCCGGGCTTGATGTTCTTCTGCGCATACTGGCGGACCTGGCGGTGCACTTCAGCACCCTGGCGGTACTCCTGGAGGAAGTCATTGTTCATGCGGTCGAGGTAGCGCTTCTCCTCGTTAGTGGTGCGGTAGGAGTTTTCATTCTGATACTCGACAATCTCTCCTTCGGGGAACTGGTTGTTCGGGAACAAAGTCGAGATCGGAACGCGCGGCGGAGAGCTCTGGACCTTGGCGCCACCCTTCTTCTTCTTCTTGGACTTGCGCTTCTTCTTTTTCTTGGCGGCTGCAGTTGCAGATTTGCTCTTCTTAGTATCGAAAGTCTTGAGGGTTTAGGCTGTCCGGGAATAAGCGGGGAAGCCATACCTCCATTAGCGGCGCCTTCAGCGCCAGCGTTGTTATCCTCGACTTCATCGTCGTCGGAATCATCCTCCGCCTCTCCGGTTCCAGCCTGACCAGCGGCGGGAGCGTCGACCTTCGCATCGCCGCTCTGACCGTTGACTAGTGGCGCGGGGAAATCTTATCAGTCACATGTCGGGACGAGGAGACATGGATCGGGAAAAAAAGTGGGAATCGTCACTTACGGTCGAGCTTCTGCAGCTTTTCACTAGCCTGGGCAGCCATGTTGAAAAAGCTGGAAAGAAACCGGGGTGTGGTATGAGTTGAAAAGAGCGAGTAGGAAAAGAGAGGGGAAATTGAAGTTCGGCGGAGGCGACGGGGAAAAGACGGTTGGTGCCAAGACTTTACTCAGAATAAGGATGATTTGACGGCACACTCGGCGATGCACCAACTGGCGAGCGATCTATGTACTGCTTCCAGAGTACTGTTTGTAGTCATCTGGTCAGGGCAGCTAATTCGCCCCGTGTATATGCCTGACAACTGGAAGGAGAGGGTTGATGTTTTCGATATATGTAAAGATCGCATATCTCCGACCTGAGGCTTGACGTTTGCTAGATAACTATAGCAGACCCATTCAAGCAAGGCGGCAAGGGTATAGTGAATAGTGTTAACAGAACCCAAGCAAGGTAAGTGCTCGAAGCATGAACTTCAGTCGCATCAATGGGCAAGACACCCAAGTTGCCAATCTACAAGACAGATCTCAGAGCACTTTGAATCACGGCTCATGACCAGCGTCACAAGTCATCCGCAGGTCCACCTCGCTGTGAAATGTCAAGGGCCCATCTCTCAAAGGCTAGGTACGGAAGAAGTAGAAGCCATGACAGTATCAGCAGTAGACACTTGGCCCAGGATCTGGAGTCACCCAACATCCATGCAGCAACTAGGGTCAGTAAGACCAGATGCAGAGACGAGCGCCCCTCGTGTTTCCTGGAATTGAGCCCTACCACACATAAACCGGGGGATATACCTAAGATTAGTCCTGGACTAGCTTCGATCAGATAAGCCACCCGATGACGCAGCAGCCCGCTCGCTCTCCCCGAAGAACGGGGCGGATTTTCGTCCCCTCAACAACCTCCACCCCTAACACATCGTATAACTGTCCTCGCTCTCCCTCGCTCTCCAATTGTCCTTGAGTGATTGGCGTCGTTGAACTCGCAACTCATACATCGTTACATGTAACGACCACTATCTGCGGGGAAATGTCACACCCTCGTCTGAGGACCGCATCCTCCATCATCACCCCCGTCATCCACCGTCAATGCCGCTGTAACCCGCGACCCCGAACAGCACCAACTTCAACATTCGCTCACATCTACACATCTCACCCTCGTGCACGCTTACTCCTCCGGCCCCCAAGACATGTACCATCACAAACCGCCTCATTCTCCACAACTTCCCACCATCTCGCCTCCGCCCGCGAACCAACCTACTACGAGGTCCTCGACATACCAATAACCGCCTCCCAAGGCGAGAAACCACTCTCCCTCTTTCCCCTCCCCCACCCCACCCCAAAAAAAGTCTAACCACCTTGGAAAAAAAAAAAGACAATTCTACACCCTCTCAATGCGCCACCATCCAGACCGCAACCGCGACGACCCGACCGCCTCCTCGCGCTTCGCCCGCATCTCCGCCGCCTACAACGTGCTCAGCCAGCCTAACAAGCGCGCCGCCTACGACCGCGACCACGGCATCTACGCCCAGTACCAGAGCACGCGGTCCACCGCCACGGCCGGCCAACATCCCATGGGCAGCTACAGCAGCCACGGCGCCGGGGCCAACCTCCACACCAAGGGGGCCTCGTACGCCGGGTCCCGCCCCGCCAGCGGGTTGAGCAATCGCCGCGGGCAGTTCCGGGGCCCGCCGCCGAGTTTCTACGCGCATGGTGGCTATGGGCGCACGGGAAGGACGGCCCCGGGGCCCGGGGCGGGGTCGGCGGCTGGTGGTGGCGATGCTGCGGGCCAGTCATCCTCCACTGCCGCCAATGATGACGATCCGACTGCGTTTATCCACAGGAATACCGTTCATCATTTCAATGCTAGGGGTCACTATAAGACTCAATCGGCGGAAGATATTCGGCGGAAAGAGCGGAGGCAGAAGGCGATGGAAGCTGCCTTGAAGGAACAGTACATTGGGAGCCCCTGGGGAGCCGCCATGCGATTCGCTGCGGTCTGTGGGATCTTGGTCGGGGCGGCAACAGTGGCGGGCTGGTTTCAATGGCCACGTGAGAAAGCAAGTAAGCAGAAAGAACAACTGAGGCGATAAAAAGGTGTGCTTGTACAGGGTGATCATGTTTATGGGTGCATGAGTGTATTGGGCTCGGTTGGCATTGTCAAATGTGTCGGGTAGAGAGCTACACATGATACAGGAGTTCGGTGGTTACCCCTTGGTTCGGATTGGATCCAGACGACAGATTTGAGATCGATTGATTTCATGCAGCATGTACATATAATGAACAAAGGGAAATGTAGACTTGATATACACTTATCGTCGGTAGATACGATACATGGTTATTAACTAGACATCCATAAGAACCCACGCCCACTCACAAGAGCAATCCTGCGCGAACCAATAGCCCGTTCAAAGACCATAAGAAAGCAATCAAGTTTCTACTCTTGCAGGCTTCCAAAAATCAATGTATCCGGCTAAGTCAGACGCTAGACTCTGCGTGCGGACAGATGCTAACTAGGGTAGCTCATCTAAGCCTCGAAGGTGAAGCTGGCGCCAACCTTGTGGGCAGCCTGGTTAAGGTTCTGGGTATCGAAAGAAGCACCAAGGCCAAGGGTGACACCAGGACGGAGGAGAACGTTGTAGGCGAGAGCGGCAACACCACGGTCGTTGATCTTGGCCTATAATCACAGTCCAACAGGTTAAACCTTATCACGTTTGACATGCGCATATCAGAAACATACCTTGGCGAAGGAAGAGGGGTCAAGGCGGTACTTGCTGGCGACCTCGAGGCCAACGGAGTTGCCGGTCTTGGAGTCCCAGGTGGCCTTGGCACCAGCCTCAACCTGCTCGTTGACGCGGTGGTAGTAGCTGGCAGAGAAGACGGTCAGGTTGTTGCCAGCGGTGATGGCAGCAGAGTACTGGGGAACGCTGTAGCCGACGGCAGCGGAGTACTTGGTGATGGCGGCCTTCTGGACGTCGTAGCCACCCTCAGCACCGACAAGGAAGCCCTCGTGGCCGAGAACAGCGTCGAAGTTGGCGGAGGGACCGTTGAGGAGGTCGAAGAAAGCACGGGCGTGGAGGTTGGGCTGCTTGAAGTGGAGGTTGAGCTTAGCGCCCTTGGACTGCTTAGCGGGCTGGTACTGGGTGAGGATCTCAGCCTTGAGGCCCTTGGCGATGTTGTTGTCGAGCTCGAGCTTGGTGTCGAGGGCGTTGGCAGTGGTCCACGCCTGGGTGAGGGTGAGGCCTGAACGAGGACGGAACATTAGCACTACCGCATGCTCGGTAATCATTGACACAAGATGGACGAAGATGTGCTTAGACGGAACATAGCCACACGCAAACATTAACGTGAGCCTGTTGTCGGGCACTCTTGAAGGTGGAGGGTCGGGAGGTTTGCGCAAGGGATGTTCGCGTGTTTTTCTGCGCGATTTGGGGCCTTTACCGGTGGGCTTGTCGACGTACTTGGCCTCGAGCTATTGGCACAATTGAGGTTCAGCATCCAAGTAACGTGCTTCGGTATGGGTTGGTTCAACTTACGGAGCCAGCAATGGGACCCTCGTGGGCAGACTTGCCCTTCACGTTGAAGGTGACGCCATTGGGGGCCTTGGACTTGACCTCGAGGCTGGCTAAGCAGGGTGTCAGCAAATGTGCGCGCTTGATATCTTCAAACGCGTCCTCGAAAGAGCGCGAAGATCAGTGGGTGACTCACCGGCGCTGGCGTGGTAGAAGTCCTTGTTAAGGAGCTATTGCGCTGTTCATTAGCACGAAAATCCCTTCTAGGAGATGCTGTCGTCCGAGGCTTTTGAACGTCGGAAGGACTGAAAAGAAAAGCGTACATCGTTGGCCGCCTTGGCGATGTCAGAGAAAGCAGCAGGAGCAGACATTGTGAATGGAGGTGGGTGGAGGAATAGAAGGTTCTGTTATGGGAGATGGATGGACGGGGAAAGGATGAGGTGACGAGGGGAGAAGAAGGGAAAGGGAAACGATGGGGAAACAGGGCAGGAAGAGGTCGTTGAGTCGTCAAAGCAGACAAACAATGGGGAAGCCACGGGAGAAACACCACTCCCTGATTGGTGGATGCTCGGGCACCGGTAAAAGCCGCTAAGTCCCGTGATGTCGATGCCTGGGGCCGTGCTTCTGCTTCTGCTTCTGCTTCTGTCCGCTTCTGCAAGCTGAGCTGGCGGAGTTGTTAATGGCCATTCTGGCCTCGGTGTTCTCTGCAGTGAAAATAACTTTCATAGCCAGTTCTTTCTCTCAAGGAGTCTTCATCTGATGGTTGAACATTACAATCTGACCATGAAATCTTCAAGTGCACTCCATCAAGCTTCCAGTTCTTACACTCTATCCAAAAGTAGATACATTGGGGATTTTAACGCTACAGCTCCAGTCCATTCTTACAAAAGCGGGTTGTTGAGAAGATAAGCAAAGCAATTCCTACTATTGCGTCCCAATGCCTGACTCCAGGATAAAATCACTCCATGCATGCTTCTATACCCAAAAACTTTGAGAACCCACACACATTACATAGGATCGCATAAATTCGTTTAAACAGCGTTGTCGTACTTGGCGTTGTGAGTGGAAATGGCTCTGGGAGATTAAGTCAGTAAACAGGGCTTTACATCGCCGACTCCTACAGCTTATGCTTACCTTCCACTGGGGTCGCTCTGCTTGGACCATGTGGGGACCCAACGCTCGACGGTGCCCGCGCAAGTGGGGGGGAAGTGCTCATCGAACATCAAGCGGTACCAGTACCTGGATTTCCAGAGTCAGCTCACACGTGCTTATCACTGTTAGAATATATAAGGGGGAAAGGCTTTAACATACGCTTCCTTGGTGTCGGGAACGTCGGTTCCCCACTCGGGCTTGGGGTTCTTCATCATCTCATCGGTGATCTGCTTCTCAGCCTGATCCTTAAGGCCATCAATCCAGCTGTAGCCGACACCATCGCTGAACTGCTCCTTCTGGCGCCACAAAATGTTATCAGGCAGGTAAGGCTTGACATCAGGCTCATCGGTGGTATCGAAAGCCTTGCGTAGAATGTACTTCTCAATGCGCTCCTTGGTGATCATCTTCTCAGCGGGGTCGACACCCATGCAAGTCTCAAGGAATTCCTTGTCGAGGAAAGGAACACGGGCCTCCAGACCCCAGGCGGAGGTGGACTTGTTCGCTCTCAAACAGTCAGCCAAGTGCAAGTTCTTGACACGTCGGACAGTCTCCTTGTGGAACTCCTCCTTGTTGGGAGCGGCGTGGAAGTACAGGTATCCACCGAAAATCTCATCACTACCCTCGCCACTAAGAACCATCTTGACGCCCATAGCCTTGATCTTGCGGCTCAGGAGGTACATAGGGGTAGAGGCACGGATGGTGGTGACATCATAGGTCTCGAGGTGGTAGATGACATCGGAAAGCGCGTTGAGACCGTCCTCAACAGTGAAGGTTAAGGCGTGGTGCTTGGTTCCGAGGAACTTGGCAACCTCGAGGGCGGCCTGGGTGTCAGGAGCACCGGGCAGACCAATGGAGAAAGAGTGCAGCTGTTGGAAGGTGGTGACAGTGGAGAGATCGTTCTCGTCATCGATACCAACCAAGTCAGACGAGACTCCCCGCGCCTGAGCAGTGCGGGCGGCGTCCTGCATGCGCAAGGTCTCGCGCTGAGCAATGGAGGCAACCAAGCTGGAATCAAGACCACCGGACAGAAGGACACCGTAAGGGACCTCAGCCATGAGACGCTTGCGGACAGACTTCTCCAAAGACTTGCGAATGACCTTATAGTCGATAGGGGTGGTGGGGACGTTGGCGGCATCCCACCACTTGGGCTGGAAGTAGCGGGTGAACTCGCCGGTCTTGGAGTCGAAGACATGGCCTGGGGGGAAAGCCTGGATCTTGTCGCAGACGGGGTGCAGGGACTTCAGCTCCGAAGCGAAGTACACAGCACCGGGAGTCTCGGACGACCAGCCGATGTAGAAGCTGGTCACGCCAATAGGGTCACGTGCAGCGATAACCCTGTCTTGCTTCTTGTCATAGAGCACGAACGAGAACATGCCGTCGAGGTGCTTGGGGGCGTCCAGGCCATATTCCATGTACTGGAGAGAATTGATTAGCTCCTGACCTGGCACAGAGCAAGTCTTCCGAATTTCGTCACACCTACCAATGGGATAACAACTTCACAGTCAGAGTGTGTCTTGAACTCGTAGTCGGCATGGAGGTTCTTTCTCAGGATGCGGTGGTTGTAGATCTCGCCGTTGACAGCCAGGGCGAGAGAGCCATCATGGTTCACAAGGGGCTGAGCGCCGGAGTCTTGAGAAGTGGTTCCTTGTTAGGTGGTCCGAAGAACGGGTGGGCGATGAAGCACATACCAACACCGACGATACACAGACGTTCGTGCGTGAGGACTGTATTTCACTTAGTGTTTGCAACGAGGGACCACGACGCGGTTGTGCTCAACTCACTGGTGTTGTCAGAGATCCAGCTTCCGCCTATTCTGGGTCAGAAAATGCTACTGCTGTCGGTCACACTTGAAAGCACTATGACTCACTCCAATCGGGACCGCGGTGGCGCAAGCTAGAAGCGGCAATCAGCAAAAGATGAACATCATACAGGCGCAAAGAGAGGAAGGCAGTTGACTTACACCTTGGCCATGCGCAAGGCCGTAGGCTTGAAGGCCTGCACATCGGGGTGACTGTGTGGACATGGTCAGTGGTTGAGTCAACCCAAGCGATGTCGCGGGTCATGAAAAATGGAGGACAAGGAAAGTGGCATGGCCATCGGCAGAAAGACGTACTGGTGACACGCGAAGATACCACACATGCTGGCGACAATCAATTGAGAAGGCACTCAAAGATTCAGGCAGCAAAAAGTCCAGGAGCAATTGATTAAACGTTGAAAGGAACCGTCTGGGGGAGAAAGAGGAAGCAGGTGAAGTTAAAATATGCGAACGAGTAACCCGTTCCCGGCGGGGCGGAATTGAGGGGCGATTTCGGCCACAAGTAATTGGACTGACTCACCCGATAAGATAACCGTGGCCCGTCTCGGACGTCGGACATTTCTCCCCGGTTCTCGTTGGTTTAATTGGTCTTCGTGACGTCTGGAAGGTCACTACGAGGTGAGTCGTCATGGACACTACTATAGTAGGTAGGTAGATTCTAAAGGTGCATGTGAAAGTCCATCCAACCCAAAGACAGGAATGCAGCTATTGTATACCTGTCCCGGATGAGCGGACGGGTTGACAACGTGCCAATGCGCCAACGTTCAATCTCTGTTCTGTCTCCATGCGGACAAAATCGGTTGCGATCTAGAAGGTGTGCCAAGAAGGAACGGAGAACACCAACCCGGCCAGTGCGGTGCGACCTCCGATTTCTCTCTCAATGAAGCCATGCACGGCCACCACGATGTTGTTAATTCTGAGACGCCATGCTTCTCGCTAAGGAAAAACTAAACAGACTGGCCGAAATGGGGGAATACATAAAATAAATCAGCCGGCAGATTGAAAGGGAAACAACATGCAAAACGTTTCGAGGACATAAGACGCCGTGTAGTCGTTGATCGGAAGAGTTTCAGGACCCAAATCTCAATCACCATTCTGTTGCCCGAATCCTTCGGTGGAATATTGTCACTTCGCGTGTGAGAAAGAGACGATACAGTCCGCGGCGATCCGTTCATTTGCCACATATCCAGGAAATCGCCGAAAGCTGCATCCACGCATGGACCAGAGGTCTGGTTGTCGCGACAACCATAGCCGAGTGTGTGTTTGTGTGTTTGTAGTCTTGATTGTACCGAGCGATAGCATTGTTCACTGTACGCATGAATAACATTCAAAGTGCCGGGTTTTCCTTGACCACCTGCTTGACACGTCTCTCATACGCCGGTCGATCCTTCTTAAACAGGTTGTATGCCTCAGCCTGGGCGGGCGACTCAGGGTTCGGGTCGTTCAGTAGGTCTTGAATGCCCAGAAGAATCTGTTTGATGGTGATGGCAGGCTTCCATGCCTCCTCTTCGTTCAATATCGAGAGGCAGACGGTGCCGGAGGGATAGACGTTCGGGTGGAAGAGCGGAGGGACGAATTTGCCTGCGGGTAATATAAGCCATTTTAGTCTCTTAGGCGCAATATCGCGAATTTGACGCAAGTCTTTCCAAGTCGCATGGGGGGATTTTATCGTCAGCCGGAATGTACTTACATTTGGGTGGCTTTGTCGGATATTCTGCGTAGTCGGCCAGCAATCAGTTACGCCATGTCGCAAAAAAGAAAAAGCTGATAACAGAGAAGTTGAACTCACCATCGGGAAACGTAACGTCGAGCTTGAAAAGCCCACCCTCCCATAAGGTTTGCGCCTTTCCAGGAATGCCGCACTCCCATCTCTTGAGGTCAAGCGCACCTTGAGGATTGCGATGAGGCCGCGCGTAGAATCCGAAAGGGTGGTCTCGACGCCACTGCTTTCTTCAATGGAGGCGCAAGATCAGAGATTAGCGCACCGGACTGACTCTACCATGGCGCATCCATGGATGGTATGGAAGCCCTCACCTTTCTTCCGTAAGGCGATTTATGCAGAGCGACATGTCGGATATACGCAGTTCACGTAGGTGGGGGAGACTTGGAAGCTGAAAGTGGGAGGATAGATAACTGACGCTGGCAAGAAACTACCAGGGAGTAGTTAGGGGGAGTAATAAGGAGCTATGGAAGAAAAGAGAGAAGAAAAGAACACAGGTGTGTTATATAAATGGGACGGAAAGTGAACGGGTGTAGATTAGGCCTAGTGAATGTGAAAGTGCACAACGGAAGTTCCAGAGCATCTTGGGAAGGTTCCATGCTCACTGGGCACTGGGCAGTTCCAGTTGTCGCCCGCCGGCTATCGATCCGCCCCACAGCCAATCACTCTCCGGGGCTGCTGCAGGTCATCCTCATCACATGACAGGACCGCCAGATTACTGGTCGAGCATCGACTACATTTCAAACATGTCTTTGTTGTAGCAAGACAATGCATGAACCCGTCGCCTTCTGAATGAACCTACCATCCCAGACTGACAACCCTACACTCGCAAGGCCTGGATGACAAAGGCATTATCGGAAGCTCTCCTCTTGACCATGAGACTGTGGCTATTCAAGCTGGGTCTTGCGTGCGCCATGTCGGTTATTTAAGCAAGAATGTTTTGCTCGCGGCGTGCTCGATCATGCTGCCTGTCACCTCGTTTGGCTCGATCTACTGACCTGACGCCGCACTATATCTTAGCCAGGTACAGTACAAGGAAATCCATCATCGGTCAACCCGTTCCTCAGCGGGGGGGGGGGGGCTATCCCCCTGTACGGGACACTATTGACCCATTTCCCAACCTTTTGGCCTCTGATAACGCATTCAGGATGTGCCATAAGATTCGTTACTACTTTTCTGGGTGTACATGCATCGATGTGCTCCGTGACGTTGATATCAGATGCGATAAAGCCTTGAAAGTAGGCTATGAATGTACCGACCCTGAAGCTACCGGGATCCCAATGGAGGGAATATGTCCCGACTGCCAGGAGTACTACCAGGAGTATCATAAAATCATGAGTACGCCCAGCGAGCCAGAAGCCCCAGTTCCTGAAAGCCAAGGGGTCGACATTTGCAAATGCGTTGAGGAAAAACCAGAGTGTCAATCCGGGATTTCAGTCCCTGAAGGTCACGAGGTCAATATCAGTAACGACATTGGGAAACCAACGTATCCCTCCGGTATTCCAGTTTCTGAAGGCCGGAAAGTCAACATCTGCAGAGACACTGAGGAGAAACCAAAGGGTGACTCTGATATTCCAGTTCCTGGAGGTCGGGAGGTTGACATCCGCAGAGACGCTGAGGAGAAGCCAGAGTTTCAACCCAATAATCACGTACTTGAGACTCAGGAAATCGACAACGGCAACGACGTTAAGCGACCAAAGTGCCACTTTGGCATTCCAGTCCCCAGACGTCAGGGAGTTAAGGTCTGCAGCGGCGTTGAGGAGCCAAGGCGTGTCACCGGTATTTCAGCCCCTGGAAGTCAGGAAGTGAAAGCCCGCGTCGAGGTAGATAAGAAAGCAAGGTACCAGTCTGGTCTTCCGGTCCTCAAGAACCAAGAAGCCAAAATAGGCAACCAGGTTGAAGAGAAGCCAAAGCGCCAGTCGGGCATCCCCCTCTCTAGGAAACCGGAAGTCAAGACAAGCAACGAAGTTGGTACAAAACCAAGGGTTCAGTCTGGCATCCCACTCCCTAGAAAACAAGAGGTCAAAACACGCAACAAGCCTGCTCCGGACTTGCAGAATACTGATAAGTTCCAGCCTCTTGACGAGGGTCTATTCGATCGAATCACTTTCTGACCAGCAGGACCAGTCTCGATTGTGGTAAACGTGCGACTTGAAAGATTGTAATATATGTTCTTCTGTCACGTTGTTATTCCCGCTCGAAGATAGCTAGATAATCACTAAGCCCCATTTACATCAACCATCATGATCCCCTTCCTCAAACCTTTGTGTATCGTAGAAACGCGCAGTAATCGCGTTTCCATTGAATATTCGGCCCTCGAGAGCATTAACCGCCTATAAGCCTCATTAGTAAACTGGACAATAACTGACTGTTGATATGAGTATTGCCTTACCCGCAATGCCGAAAGCTGATTGGTGAATTTTACAAACACAGGAACAGGGGGCTTCGTCGACTCTCGTGGGATGTAAACTCGCTCGACACGGCCGTACTGCACGTGAGTTAGATAGGGTAATCGTTAGGGTGTCTCATATAATCACTGACCTTGTCGGAGCATTCTTCACCGATTTCCTGCATGAGACCACCGCTCTCTCCGTCGCCAGCCAATTCAGCCTCAAGATCCATGCCATCAAGCATGCCTTTGAGAACGATTACTTCACTCATGGGGCCAAATTTGCCTTCTTCTTCGCTCTTCCGCGCACCACCAATGACCTTACCCCGTCCAGCGGGCGTCACAAAGCCACCCCCTTCCGAGTCCGGCCGTTTCTTCTGCTTTTCAACTTTGACCTGCAATGGCTTGACGATTCCGGACCCTGTGGCGCCAAGGCCGGAGCCCTTCGTCCAGCCATACTTCGCCATGAGCCGTTCCGCAAAGCCCTTCTGGCCTGGTCTAAGGGAGCGCTGACCATCGTCTCCCGGCTCATCATCAACTGGTTGCTCCTTTGCGAACACTTCTTCAAGCTCTGCTTCCGAGGCAGGTATGTCCTCAGGGGGAGGTGGTAATGTGTATCGAACCGGAGCGCGGGATATGGTCGCAGAAGCCGGCTGCAAGACATCCAAAGGCCGTGACGGCGGTGGTGGCGGGGGCACTGCTGAGCTCCCAGCCGTCGACATCTGGATCCTTCGCAGATAAGCATCCTCGCCTGTAGGGTCGTCGGGAACATGGGCCAGTGGCTCATCTGGCGGTGGGGGCGGAGGGATTCCTCCCATCGACACATCGTCCGGAGTTTCGATTCGTTCTTCGGTGGGTGGTGATTCCACAGGTGGCCTGGGAGTAGCATCATTAAGGCCCGGGGGCGGCGCAAAACTGCCGGGGGGCGCGAATTGACCTGGGATCCTGTGGTGAGCAGATGAAACATTCTCGTTGTGCCATTAGGATGAACTTACGGTTCCTTGGCCGTGCATAATCCTCATCCTCACTGTATGAGTCCCTGCTGGGCGACCTTGCCATGCGATGTGCATAGAGGCGGTCCTTCCACTCTCGGATCTCAGCTATCTGCTCGTCGCTATGCTTGTATTCCTCATAATTGTTTGGCCGAGACGGATCGTAGATATCATCCCAGTTCTGTATGAATTCCTGCACCTCCCGGTTCTTCTTGCGCTTCTTGCGACCTCCGCGCTGCCTCTTCGGCCCAGCATAGAACCCGTTGACATCGTCGTCTTCGGTGGCCGCCCAGTCGGCAAGGGTAGTTTTGACTGATGCAGCGGCTGGCGTGGCAGCGATTGGAGCTTTAGGTAGTATTGGCTTGGGCTTCGGTTTCTGAGTCGCGAGTTGCGGCCTTTTGGTGGGTTGAAATCGGAGAGAAGCTGAATGCCACCGACATGAATCACCGGGCGGACAAGTGAGCAATCAAATCGATCAAAGAGACGAGAAAGTTCGCTCCAAAGAAAAGGGCATGGGTCTACCGGCACTGAGCTGCTGCTTTTTCGCAGCTGGGTCATCGGGATGGGCCTCGGCCTCGGCACCCTGTCTGAAAACAACAGGCGCGCGAGAAATCGTCCCGGGGGAGTTATCCGCGGAGGGGTCCAGTAAATTGGCATAGAGTGACAGGCCACCCCCAGGCTTAGGAGGGGCGGGATCGGAGCTCATGACGAATGAGGACTAGGTACATTCAGCGAGAATATCGTGTCTGGAATGAAAACGATGATGCAGTCATGAAAGGCAAGTCCGATAAGCTTGGATGACACAAATCCCCAACGACTCTCATAGGCTTGTCTGACTGAGGTTTGATGATAATGAGAAAGCGGCAGTTCCGGCGAAGCGGTGGCCGTTACAGTGCACCGCCTACTACACCGCTCAGACGGCAGAATATTCAAAGCCCCTGGAGGCAGGTCTTCACCGCCCGCCAAGCCGACAGAAACGAGTGTCCAATAACGTGGCCGGCGGTGAGCGGGAGCCCCAGGCCCGAATCAGGAAATGCCGAGGCCAGGCCCCCAGCCCTAAGGCGAGTGGAACGGAACAAAGTACCCGGGCCGTACTGGCACTAACTATGTATGGATTGGGAGATGCCTAACGGTTCAGGTCATGATGCAATTGCCCGGCTGGCATTTGTCGCCTGCAACTCTGAGTTGTTCCTGACACGGAAAAAGGGCTTCGACGCAAAAGAGTTCGATTGTGTCATTGTGCCATTGTGCCATCGAGCCATCAAAACCACCATAGTCACTATACTCATCCGAACGATCATCAAACATCCCTGACAGCCAAGACCCAAGTGTAACCCTCGTGCAGCACACTACTCGTCATGGCAACATTGGCGCGGTCATTCTCCTCCGATAGTGCGGATATCGCCATCCTAGTGCCCAATAAAACCCATCCTCTAGCGATCACCTATCAGCAGTTGCACAATCAGATCGCAGCGTTCCAGGCCAAGTTAGCCAAGCTTGGGGTCGGCCATGGCGCCGCCGTGTCCCTGGCGCTGACCAACTCGTACGAGTTCATCGTGGCATTCCTGGCCGCCTCGTGGCAGCGGGCGATCGCCGCTCCCCTCAACCCGGCCTATAAGCAGGAGGAGTTCGAATTCTACATCGACGATCTCAGCTCCACCCTCGTCTTGATCCCCCAGGGATCCTACGCGAAGGCAGGTCCCGCCGTTCGCGCGGGGAGGAAGTACAATGCCGCGATCGCCGAGTGCTACTGGAACGGCACAGAGATCGTGCTCGATGTGAAGGAGCAAGGCAAGCTTTCGGGCAATGGAGGCGTCAATGTCCAACAAGCTCAACCCGATGATGTCGCTCTCGTCTTGCACACGAGCGGAACCACTGGCAGGCCCAAGGCTGTACGTCTCTCTCTCTCTCTCTCTCTCGCCTTTTCCCTGTGGACCAGGTTCCTTTGCCTTTATCACCACTAACCTCTCTCGATCAGGTCCCGCTCACGCACAAGAACTTGACCACCACAATGCGTAAGTGTCCAGTCCCTTGGCCCCCAGCATTTCCTCTAGAAACCCGATTTAACCCTTCCCCACACAGGCAACATCAAAGCGACATACAACCTCACTCCAGCAGACCGCACGTACCTGGTGATGCCCCTCTTCCACGTCCACGGCCTCCTAGCCGCATTCCTGGCGCCACTGTACTCCGGAGGCTCGGTGATCGTTCCCGCGCGATTCTCAGCCTCGGAGTTCTGGTCCGATTTCATCACCTACAAGGCGAACTGGTACACGGCGGTGCCCACGATCCACCAGATCCTCCTCAAGAGCCCCCTGCCCAACCCCGTGCCAGCGATCCGTTTTATCCGGTCGTGCTCCAGCCCTCTCTCTCCGAAGACCTTCCAGGACCTGGAGAAGGCTTTGAACGCCCCAGTCCTCGAAGCCTACGCCATGACGGAGGCCGCGCACCAGATGACCAGCAACCCGCTCCCGCCCGCGAAGCGCCAGCCCGGGAGCGTGGGTCTCGGCCAGGGGGTGGAGGTGCGGATCCTCGACGCGGAAGGCCGGGAAGTGGCCCAGGGCCAGGAGGCGGAGATCTGCGTGCGGGGCGAGAACGTCACCACAGGGTACCTGAACAACCCGGCAGCCAACAAGTCCTCTTTTACTCAGGACGGGTTCTTCCGCACCGGCGACCAGGGCAAGAAGGATGCGGACGGGTACGTGATCATCACGGGCCGCATCAAGGAGCTGATCAACAAGGGCGGCGAGAAGATCAGCCCCATCGAGCTGGACAATACCCTCCTCCACCACCCCGCGGTGGCGGAGGCGGTGTGCTTCGCCATCCCCGATGAGGGCCACTACGGCGAGGAGATCGGGGCCGCGGTGGTCGTGAAGACCGGCGCGAGTGCCACGGAGGCCGAACTCAAGGCCTGGGTTGAGTCGAAGTTGGCCAAGTTTAAGACGCCCAAGAAGGTATGTCGCTTGCTCCCCACTGTTTATTGTTTCCCCTGGATGTTGGGTAATGAAAGGAGCGTGCTAACGCGCATGGTTTCGCAGGTTTGGCTGGTCCCGCAGATTCCCAAGACGGCTACGGGTAAGATTCAGCGGCGCAAGGTGGCAGAGGCGATGCTCAAGGTCAAGGCCAAGCTGTAGTCTCGTAAGCCTGGGGGAATGTTTAGAATATAGTTCTGCTCACGCAACATTTGAAAAGAGTCAGGCGGATGTTTGCACTATAGATAGATATCTTTCTGTTGTCATCAACGCTGTCCTAAAGCCACTATGGTTAGTTATTCTATAACCTGTACGCATCTCAAATCTCATCACGCTTCAGAGAACAAAAGCCCCCCTGGCGCTGTAGGCCCAGCTTAAGCTTGAATAGAGCACACTCTCGCTGTGCCAAACCCCGCATTCTGATCTTCCCCAAACATCTCAAAAATCCCAAAGCAACAGACATAACGAAACAACAGACAAACCCCCCCCCCCCAAAACACCCAAACCGTCAGAACCCAAAGCGACACTCCAGCCCCCAAAATCCACACCCCCATCGAATCAACACATAACCCACCCCACCCTCTACAAATTCCCTCTCGCAGCCTGATCCCGCTCGAATGCCTCAAACAAACTCCGAAAGTTCCCAGCCCCAAAGCCATCAAAGTTCTCGCGCTGGATGATCTCGATGAATACCGTGGGGCGGTCGACGACGTGCTTGGTGAAGATCTGCAGCAGGTAGCCGCCCTCGTCGAAGTCGATCAGGATGTTGTACCTCTGCAGGATGTCAATATCCTCGGCAATGCTGAGGCTGCTCGCCGCGAGCCGCTTCTTCATGGTCGTGTAGTAGTTCGCCGGCACGGTGAGGAAGTTGACGCCGCGCTGGCCGAGGTTCTCGACGGCGGCGATGATGTTGTCCGTGCGGAAGGCGATGTGCTGGCAGCCGGCGCCGTTGTAGTAGTCGACGAATCTGTGGATTGGTTAGTCGGTTGGTTGCTCTGTTTGGCTTTGTCTGGATACGTGTGGCGTGTTTGAGAGGGAAGACTCGGATAATAATGTCGGGAGGGGTTGGGATGAGTGAGTAGTTTGTGGATGAATGAGGACCGACACAGAGAGAGGAGCAGCTTACTCTTCGATCTGGGATTTCTTGAGCCCCACAGCCGGCTCATTCATGGGCATCTTGATCACCTCGTCCGGCGAGGCAACGACAACCGAGCGCATCGCGGAGAACTCGGAGCACATTTCCTTGTCGTCGACGGTCCAGTAGCGGTGGAAGTTCAACGCGTCCTCATAGCTGGCGCAGAGGGGGCTACAGTCAGCTCATGTGCGTATGGTGCAGAAGACGAAGGCTTACAACTTGACGATGGTATCCAACCCATCCCAGGGCTGGTTGCCCACGCAATGATCAATCTCAATGACATCGACCGGCGGCAGCAGGTCGTTCAAGCGGTCCAGGCCCGAAACGGCGACGTACCCGGGAAGAAAGACACCCCGGTAGCCGGAGCGGTTGAGGAGCGTGTGCGCCGTGTCTCCGAAGGTCTTGATCGTGGCCCGGAGAATCTGGCCATCAACCTCGTCGGTCAGGGTCGTGGGCTCCTGGAGCGACACGGCTCCGTTCCGGACGGCGTGCTCCCAGACGCCCGTCACATCCTCGACCTGGAATGCGATGTCCTTGACCCCGTCCCCGTGCTTGTTCAAGTGTGCCTGGATCTCGTCGAGCAGCCGGCGATCCGCGTCCGAGCCCCGTTGTTCGGCAGCGTGATCCACAGCCACGATAGGAGCGGTAAATACGAATCGGGCGGCGCCGTTGGCCACGACGTACGAGCATGAGAGATAGGAGCCCGTCTCGGGGCCGCGGTAGGCGACGATGCTGAAGCCGAAGTGGGCGACGAAGTATGTCGCCGCTTGGCGGGCGTTGCCGACGTACCAGCTTACATAGTCATAGCCGGTGTAGTTCGGGTTGACGCTGCGGAGGAGGGCGTTGTTGCCGTTGCTGGCCGCAGGCTGGGCAAGAGACTCATTGGAAGGCATGGCGAACTGTATGGAATGTATTGATATATTAGTGTTTTAGGTGTACCTAGGCGATCGGAATAATAGTCCCGTCCAAGACAGATAGCGGAAGATCTGGACCTTGCGGAGAGCGTTGTTCTGTGCTGTTGTTTCGGTCGTTGTTGCTGCCGTTATCAACCCACGTTTGCCACTGTCTGTCCGTCCTCATGGCTATATACCTGAACATGATGGCACATGTGCGTGACGTGAGACCGCAAATCCGTAGACCGGTACATACCACACGGAGTCGTGTCAGATCCTGTTCATGCAATATCTTAGCGATCTACATTATCAGATTCCGTAATGGATCTCCGCAAGGGCGATAGACCCTGCACTTTATACTAGACCCTTGTAATGGTTCGACTGGTCCAAAATGCGATACCAACGTCACCGTTCCACCAGTCTTACTACTCGTGACTAATTCATAATATCGGCTTCGAACTCCTCCCTCCTTTTTGTTGACGTCAGATATCCTTGGTCTGCATCACACGACCCAGACCTTTAAAGTAAAGGATAAATGTCAAATCCTCAAGCTCAAGTCCGAGCGGGCTTCCAGTTAATGACACCACACGACAACAATGTCGATCATTGTACATGCAATGACGAGGCGGTGACCCAGGGTAGTATTGCATCGGAATATATGTGCCAAGTCTAGACTTTGCATGTTTTGTCGAATGATAAAAAGGCACACTGAATGCCCGCATCGACCGTTTCATCATCCATGCATTTCAGTCTTGGCAACTGGGTGGCTCGCATCGGAGCAAGAGCTAGAGCATACGAGCGCAAGTCACATTCAGGAAACCAGCAATTCAGCGACAATTGTCACGGCAGAGCGAGTGCCGCGTATACAGGGTCTTCCTAAAGGGGAGAAAGGCGTCGCGGTTAATGCATGCAAATGCGGATAGCCCCCTCGACTATGCATAGCAATGGATTGAAGGCGTGCAAGGGGTCTTGGTGATGGAAGCACTTCAACAGTCATCTCGGAGGAAAACCTGGCAATGCTCGTGGGAAGCGCAGAATAAGGTGGCCTGGCTGCCAGGTAAGTGTTGCGGAGAGGCGCGACTCGATTATGCTGATTCAAACCTAAATCTTATCAGCTGTCATGCACAGTGGGTATCAGTGGTATACTACAATGAATCGGAAAGAACCATTCAACATATTGTCACGGGGATACACGACGTGATTGCATTCGTAACCTATGGGACAGAGATCTACAAGGCCAAGCGAGCAGCAGACTTGAACTGAAGTATGGCGAAGTATATCAGCACGTGCGCAAAGAAAAGACAGGGAGGTGGTCACCATACCGGAATGATTTGGGCCTTGTCTAGGTCCCATACATCAGACTTGGTGTAGATATCATTCTTCACCAACTCCTCGACCTCCTCCTTGCTCTCGGCGACGTAAATCATAACACTGCCCTTAAAGGAGACGGAGTCATCTGGTTTCGGGTGTTGGTCGAGCATGGCTCCTATCGGTATTCCATTCATTTAGCCGATGTTAAGGTTTGGGAGGATGATTTGCTTGGGACATACCACCCAGGACAACCTTGCCGGACTCAACAAGAGGCGTGACATTTGCAAGATGTTGTCTGATTCATGTTCAGCTCTGCGCCAGCGGCAAGCAATTGAAGATGTCAATCTTACGCGCGCACTTCCAGTCTTCTGGCCAAGGCGTCGGGCTTGTCCGGGAGGATGCAAAGAAACTCGTTCTTGGCCGACATTGTGCTGGACAGTTGAGTCAAGATAGTATAGCAAGAGCAGCAGCAGCAGCAGCAGCAGCAGTAGTAGTAGTAGTAGTAGTAGTAGTAGTAGTAGTAGTAGTAGTAGTGTTGACAGGGGGGGGACGAAGAGGCGGGGGAGTGGCGGCTTTCAAGTTGATAGAGAAAGTACGGATAGAAGAAACAGATGACGATGGCCGAGGGGAAAGCGAAAGCGGAGGGCGGGGAGGTTTAGGTAGTTAAGTGGGTGGTGGGCGGGGAGACGGAGCTCAGGGCGCAAGTCTTAACCGGTTTTAGTGTCACTGTGATTTAGTCTTTCCCCCCATGTCTCACAGCTGTCTTGAAGCTGTGATCACCTTTGAAGCGGGGCTCATGCTTATCGAATGGTAATTTACCCTCAGGGTTTAGCCAAGTTACATGGCATCATAGCAGATTATTATTGCTCGAACTACTCTACTCTGTACGACATATGTACATGGACATGGAGATCAGAGACTGTGCCTAGCCTGGTTCCTATGTGCGTTTCCTACTTGATGACACTCGGCCGCTCTAATCCAGTAATGGAGACAGAGCGTAGAGTGCAATGCGCATCGGCATACACAATCAAACATGCCTGGTGCGCAGAGAGTACCAGCCGCTGGGCGAGAAGATGCTCGTCACTGGCATCTTACCCGCAAGAAAGAACATAGCAAGCCATAATCAGAGCTCAGTCAACCGGCGCTCTATGGGTGTTCTCCAATATACCTAAACACTGTCCCTGTAGCGCCAACAAACCCAGACATAACCCTGGATCGCAAAGACAAAAAAAGAAAGAAACATAGAAAGAAGAATTACCGGAGTTGTGAGAGATATCCGTCTCAGTGTCCGTAGCATGCATTCAGGCAAATAGAACAGATGCAAAGGGAAGGTAAAAAGAAAAGAACACAAGGGTTAAAATAAAAAAAGACGTAATAGGTGAGCCTCCACATAGATGACCATCATAACAGCTCAGATGTACACAGGAAAAAGGGGGTATTTCGAGTTTTGGTAACAAGGAATGAAGATGGTCGCTTCACTCAAACTGCATGAAAGATAGGATCAACCCGTAAATGCAGTTAATAGGCTTTGCGGCCCCCAAGGTTACCACCCTTCTCTTCGGTATCGATATGCCAGACGACATAGTTGGGTAGTCCGTAGACGCCGTATCCAGCACGCTTTGCCATGCGGGCGAATCCTTCGGTTTCGGCCTGGTTCTCGAAGGCGTAGGCAGGGAAGTTGATACCAGACCGATGAACATCAGCCTTGACGAGGATGTTGACTCCGCCAATGCCGTCCAGCTCAACTTCCTCATCCTTGTTGTTCCTCCAGTCACCCATGCCAACGAGGTATTGTCGGCCAGTATCATACTCCTTGTAACCCTCGGCCAAAACAGTATCCGGATCAAGCGTCTCGCGAAGACGACGTCCCTTGTCGGATTCGATCCACGAGTTGTAGTCAACTGCGAGAGTCAGCAAACAGAGTCAATATGTTGATTTGTTGATATGGTACATACAGCGACCTTCAATATCGCGGCCATCCCTGTAGCGGTGGAACCAGATGTCTGCGATTATGGTTAGTACGAAACTTTTAAGGTACATGTCTGAAGGTGTTTACATACTGGGCACGAGAATGTCTCTGTCGTGAGCGACAAAGTCCTCAATGATACTGGGGGGGCTGTCAGAAATGTCGACATCTCGCCAATAGACCCATGAGTGGTCAGGCTTGAGAGCAGAATAGAGTAGGTAGTTCCGAGCTCTGCCGATAGCCTTGCGGCGCGGTCCCTGAGCAGCAAATGAATGCCTGTCTTCGACATTCATCTGGAAATCGCTATGGAAATCCTTCTCCACAATGGTAGCACTGCGGAAAGCGATTTTCTCGTCCGTCTGAGACTGAATACGAGCCAGTTCTGCGGTAAGAACAGCCATGGTGTCATCCTTGCTATCGCCAACGAGGAATGCCAGATCGATGAGATCGTGGGGGTACGTCAACTTGTAGAGAAGGTCGAAGTAGTTAATCAGATGAGCCGAGGCATCTCTCAGCGGCGTCAGGATGAGTACTCGCTCAGCGTTCGCGACGGCCTGTTGGGTTGATTTTATAGGGTTGAGATCGACGTGATTGATGTTGGATGAGTTTACTTCGTAAGCATCGTGGTGGTTAAAGACCACAGGGGTCTGAAGATGTGCGTTCCATTCGACCATTTCATTGATGGACATATCCATTGGCGATTTCGGAGGGCCGTAGCAATAGAAACTGCATGCAGTCGTCGACGTTAACTCCTTCTGTGTCTCCGACTCACGATAGGGGATCGTTGTAACGCGACCTGCGCGATTGATGAGAGAGGGGCTCACCTTTGCATTTCTGAAGCCGACCTGCTGATACCACGCCAAAGAAGGACCATTAAGCCAGTCACGGCCAGTGATACTAGGAATCTAGTTCTCGTGACCATAAACAGGACAGCCCGCCATGGGGGCAGCCTGGCTTTGGCCGACTTCCACGTTACACCACCCTTGGGGAGCAACATGTTTGTAAAGGAGAAAAGGTCGCTGAAATTGAACGTGAGCCAAGCCGTGGTTTGCCTCGCTTGACTGATTTGGAAACCGCCGACGCTCACAACAGGCGACGATTTCTCGTGGATTACCTATCGTGAAGACACAAATCCAAGGAGGCCGTTGAATCGCTCTCCGATCGACGAGATGACAGGCGAACGAAGGGAAGAGAGAGATTATTCCCGGGACAAGGAAGAGAGAACTTGACGTAAGCCCCGATCGAAAATCAACTTCCAAGCCAGGTACAAGCCCGATGGGTTGACGTGGACAGGTCAGAGTTGATGATGCGATACGGAGAAGGGGGGGGGAACCTGCGATCGCCCGGGGAAGGAAAAGGGTAGTAAGGGAACTCGACTCAAGGGCTGGCTGCGGTAGAGCGCGGAACCGAAACCGAGCAATGGGAGATTGAACTTGAAACGAACGTAGGCGTGAGCCGGACAGAAGATAGATTCGAACAAAAACAAAAGCCCTGCTAATCCTCGACAATTAAATGCCAGTGTCGCAAGCCCAAAAGGAAATTCGGGAACGGTCGTCGAAAGGGAAGATGGTCCAGTTTGACAGCGAGGGATTAGAAGAAGATTCGACCCGCCCGATGGCCCAGCCAGAGTCCAGTTGGCCGCTACCGGATTGGTCCATTGCTTTTAATAGGGTACCTGACTAACAATATCTTACTCATCAGCATAACCATGAATAATTCGCCTCAACCCCATTCCACCCGTGACCCTCTGTCTCTACTCTCTAGAATTCTACTTTGTCAGGGGCTTTCAAAAAAGATTTGCTCCTCTGCTGCCAGTCACTGCTCATTCTATGATACTAACTCGTGAGTGACCTCCGTCAGGCATTTCTCATTGGGTTTTCTCTCAGATTGGTTTCACTCATAACCGATTTGAAACATATTTAAAACTAATGGGCGAAAACACATCCATGATAAGGAGTCGCAAAAAGTGATCTGAATTGCCGAAAATGACCATGTATGTATATAAATGCTTCCAAACTCAGTAAATCACAAGATGGTTCCCAAATGTGTTCCGTTCACGCCAGAAATGAAGCCCGCAAATGATACCCCTTATAGCCTCTCCCGATATAGACAATATAAACAATGGAGGAACTTGTACAAACTCCATGAGAAATCCCATGCTCATGCTCCCCGGACGACCTTTTCTTTTGATGTACACCACAATTCTCGAAACCAGCTGACACCGGACCAAACGAAGACCCGTTCAAGTGGATCCCGTACTCGACAAAGCAATAAATAAATCAAAATGCAGCAAAGCTCTGATGTGGCAAGTGTATGTCGATGAAGAACGCTCCCGCTATGCTAGAAAGAAACACAGTTGAAATGGGTGGTGACAGATTTGCGACTGCAGTATGTACCAGTCTCTATTTGCAATTCAAAATTTGACCGTTAAGTGCGGCGCTCGCAGCTATTCATTGACTCGGCGCGCTCAGGTTGATCAGGGCGACGGGTTGAGCGATGGGCGTCGTGATGCCGGTACCGAGTAAGATGCCTGAGTGAACATCGGCGATGAGGGGCCTGTGACGGGGGGAGTGTTACTCGGGTAAGAGTGGCCAAATGACTGCGTTGCTGCAGCGGGAATGTGCTCCAACCGAGACTCGGAGCCATTGACAGCAATCTCATCACAGAATACTCTCAAGCCAGGGAGCATGTTTCGTGGCTTGAGCTCTGCTGGATTTGGCATCGGCTGAGTGGTCATGTGCTCGCTCTTGGAGGTGCGGAACATGTGCTCATATGTCTTCAGCTGAAACTCAAGCGTCTGATTGCGCTCCTCCAGCATCTGATTCTCTTGCTTCAGGGTCTTGACTTGTTGCTGAAGGCTCTGATTCTGTTGCTGTAGGTGGGACACTGTTTGCTGCAACTGCATGCAACGGAACTGGGTCTGCAGCTTTTTCGTAACGTGGCGCGGCATCTCATTCTCCTGGTGGATCATATGAATAATGATCACAAGCATGAAGTCGATGAGAAATATGGCGGCCTGCACAATATGCTCTTTCGATTCCGGGAGACTCTTGGATGGATTCCAACCTGCTCGCTCAAGGAAGAAATCGTGGAGGCGACTGTCGAGTTCGCGGTGCAACTGGCTGAGGTTCTTGCGGCGGTTACCCTCAGCAATTCTGTGCTTCTCCCTCTGTTCGTCCGAGTCCGCCGTAATCATGTTTCCCTTACGCTTACGGCCACACAGTTGCTGCAATGGTGGCTTGCGGTTGATGTGCTTCGGCATGATCAGGCTCACGATTTCATTGAGAGAGAGCTCCTGGTGCCACTCAAGAACTTTCTGCGATGGCAAAGGCTCCGGCCAGGAGCTATCAGCGGAGGTCGCCGGGGATGGAGGTGCCACCATGTGCTCCGCCGATGGCCAAGGTGATCTGACAGGGAAAGTTTCGTGTGACGTAGGCGGACTAGGAGCAAAGATGTTGGAATTGAAGGGGTTGAAAGGTCCCCGGGGTAAGGGCTCCACCCGTGGTAGTGGTGGTAGACGGCGGTCGTCGCTCATGTCTGCGGTACTTGAGGCACTAGAGATGGTGCGCATGCCGCTATGCAGCCGAGAGCTGTCAGCTCTGCGTTTGGAGGCAAGGACACAGGAAGGGGACTCACGATGGAGAGCGTCGGGAGATGTCGTCAGACATTCAGTCGAAGGTTTTCGCTGAGGAGGAGACAAAGGAGGGCGTCTCTTGCAGTTGGGGATGCTGTATGTCTGAGGCGGATGCGTCTAGACTGGGGAATGTCTCTGATATGTACGTCTGCACCTTCGCGGGATGTCTGAGAGTAATTTCAACGACGAGGGGCAAGCACAGATGGCATATATATAGTCTCCAGACTGCCTTTCAAGGGGGATAGATGAGTGACTAAAGACGGAGTGGCGAATGAATTGTAATGCTAGAAAACAATATTGTGATCAAGGGGAAGGGTTGCTATGGACAGCTGAGAAACACTGAGAATATTCAATTGGAACCACGAGGTATGGAAGATATATTCGAGGAACACTGTGCTTTCCAGGGATACGGGAGGCTTCCGCTGCATGATTTATATTGCAGGAAGTGAACGAGGAGACAGGAGGGGGAATTGATGAATCCAATGAAGGAGGTGGGGGGGGGGAGGAAGAGCGAGCGCGGAAAGGCGCCATTGTGGTGGCGCTCAGACGTACAGTTGAGCTGGCAATGAACTGCATCAGATGGAGAAGAAGGAGATCCGAAGGTTAGGCAAGATGGGAGGGTCCATTTCTGTGTGGGCGTGTGTGTGGGAGTGTGTATGTGTGTATGTGTGTATGTGTGTGTATGTGTAAAAAGTGAAGATGAATAGCACTGCAAGCTGTAGTTGAGAGGAAGGATGTATCAACAACTCCATCCCAGAGTGGCACTGTACTTCATTGGTACCGGCACCACCGCCGCCAGGCCGGGCCCCCTCAGGCCTCCATAACCAGTGGTTACAGGGCTTGTACTTTTCCTAGTCTGAGTTAAATGGATTAGCTCGATCTGCGACTTCCTCAAGAAGGAAACGGGGCTACCGTCGATTACTTACAGCTTCCCTCCCGGGCGTTGTTTGATGTTATTTTTACTTCTGGGGAAATATTTCCTTTTTTTTTTCCCTACTTCTATTTTTCAGATTTTGCTTTTTTCTTTATCGTTTTTATATTTTTTTGGGGGGGGGGGGAGGGGGTTTATTTCTTTTCTATTTTTCTCTTCGATTTTCCCTAAAGCAAAGAGTCGCTTTTGACCTCTCGCAACTATACACAAGATCCCCCCAATTTGGTGCAGGTCTTCCACGGTATACTAGATCATCACAATGACCACGGTGTAAATTCTTGGTTGGCATTGTCATGGTGGTTGAGTTCGTGCATCCAGACTCTCCCCGACGTCCTTCGGGCCAGGAACAATGAAGCCTATCTGACCTTGTGGCTCCATTTGGTCCCATTCGGGATCTCCTGCTCTTTCTTCATCGTCCTCTTCTCCATGAGGACACGCGGGGAAGCACCAAGAAGATTCCGGCAAAGTTCGACAGCTCGAGCTAGTGACTTTTTTGGATCATTCGGGTCCCGGACTGGGTCCTCTGGGTCCTCTGGGTCCTCTGGGTCCTCTTTGGGGCAGATATCTCTATCACAAATTGGCACAGACGCGAGGCAGCACCGGATCGACGAATCAACGTGCCATGATCCCGATGCCCAAGAGAGTCGAATGAGGATCGAAGACCCTTGATTTGTCACCACTACAGCGGTTTTCGATCTACACGGGGCGAAAAGGTATCGACTCCCCTTGCATTGCAGCCATCAATAGTTTGCTCGGGCCAATGGCCATGGTCCATTCGGGGAGTGTTGAGAGCGACGCCTCGACCCAGACGGCGGTGCATCCATGAATTGATAGTGTCCAGGTGGGAAACGTTCCTATTGTTTGTACAAGCGCAATCTAGTGACTGTATGGAGGTACGAACCGAGTCTCTGACGCTTATCTATCTTGTAGGTGCCCGAGCAGACAGCCTTTGCGGGGTACAGTAAGAAGCACAGGTCTCTCTGAGGGCTATACCTATAAGGAACGATCAGCCATTATTGCAGGGGGAGCACTCAGCCAAGGTACCAACGACGAAACGCAGATCGGATCAGACATCCGGAACTTTTGGCTGGATGGCTTATCGTCTCCTTGATACCTCATCCCATATACCGTATTCGAGCGCTCCAGATCCTATATACAGTATAGGAACAGGCGCAGTACTGCGCTGAGATGCGACCCTAAGAAGGCGAGGACTCCAGAGTCCCACAGTCTGATTATTGCTCACGACAATGAGATCATTGTATCGAGAGTACAAAAGTACCAATAAAGGGACCAAAGCCCTAGAATCAGTATGTACTATACATAAACATCCGACGCGCAGACGATGGAAGGATCCCCAAAGCAGATCATCACTTCGGCAGGAGGAGATCAGTACTTGATAGCACGAAGCAAGGACTCGAGGGAAGATGCAAAAAGTACGTGAGACAGGTTCTGCGAGGAGGCCATGGATTTAGCGTCATGCCAGGGAAGTCCCGAAGCGATGACGCCCACCACGATGTCATTTCTCTGCTTTGGTCTATGTTTCCAACCTGAGAGATAACAGGGTTAAAAGTTGCAGTCATTGGTTATCGATTGAGGCTAGAACAAGACCGTTATCGCTGCTGTTGATGCCTTGCGTTGCTCCGAGTCCGTCGTCGTCGTTGCTGTCGTTGGTGTAGTATACTTTTGCGAAGAATAACAATAACAATGGGTACTGTGATTGAGCTCCAGGCCCAGCGCCTTGAACAGTCATCTACTGTACTACCGAATTGGGAAACGCAGCAGGTGGACAGGATCAGTAAGTTTGGTTTGATGTGAAAGGCCGAATGGGCCCGACTCAAGGGGGTCCAAACTCAACCTACAGTACTATGTACGTACAGTGCTATGTATGTCCTGTACTAGGTAATGTAGCCCGCGGGACAGAATTGGATCGTCGACAGCCGAGGAAGGGCCCATCCGACTGGGTCTCTGGCTAATCCCAGCGACCGGGATGGGACTGGCGGGCTGTCAAGCGTGGCTTCTGGACTTAATCGCCCGCCACTGTTTGGTTATACTTTGTATGATGGGAATATTTGGAATCTATTATCTATTCAACCACCAGTCAACCCAGAGCACTACACCCAGAGCAACCCCAACAACAACCACAACCACACCAATAATGAGCCCTCAAAAGCGATGTTCACGACTCTGCTGTCAAGAGGGAGCAAGATTCCACATTCCATGTAATGACTCCAGAACTATCCAAAAACGGGAGAAAAAACCCAGCATCCGAATCTAAATAAGCCCCGTACAGTACCTACCTACCTACCTACAGTAAGTACGGTAGGTAGGTAGATAATTGTAGGCAGGGGGTAAAATGGACCTCAAACGTAGGGGGACCACCCGATCAGATCTGTCATATTTTGAGAGTCCCCGGATCTGAGATTTGCACCTCCTGAGGTGAAGAAAATAATGGGTCTTCCGGCGCCCTAACTCTTCCCTAGGTGTGGTAGCCCCACGTTGTTGAGGCGACTGACTGGAGGAAGAGGAGACGATCGTTATACTCGTCACTATTATCGTTCCACCGTCATCATATTTACTACTAACTACTGTATATGAGAGGGTAGTAACGAGGCTATTGATGGTCATCCATGACTGAATGTGTTCGTGTTCATATTGCCAGTGACATACTGAATAAGTCTCCTCCCACATGGTCTTTTCCCTTCCCGTCCCGTCATACGCCCTCCGTCCGTCCCCAGAGGGCCGGGAAGTGAGGAGCAGCCGCTATGCCAAAACAGGCTATCCTCCCTACGGCCTAGTCTAGAGCTTTGCTTCCTCATGACACTGAACGTTATTCCAAGATACTATCCCTCGGTTCCGCAAACAAGGAATTGCCAGCGGCCTTGCTAGACACTCGTCGTCGGCTACCACCGTTTGAAAAGTTCAAGTCCAAATATCAACTATCAAGCCTGAAATATATTAATCTGCTCCCCTCTACCCCCGGAGGAACCCGACTGGCACTGAACGAGCGCTGTGGAGGCTAGAAAGTACGCATTCTCCATAACATGATGAGTTGGCAATACACATATCCACTTGCGGGCAAGGGATCATGAAACACTGAGCGCGATCCTCGAGAGACCCTAGCCCCCTGTTTGATCAGAGATACCTTGCACGCTGTGGATGCCAGGCACGAACTCATTTGTGGTCTACAGAGTTTCCTCCCGTCCAAATGATTGCATGCAGACTTCCATACATGGCTTGGATATTTGATGGCGCTCACGGGCCCCATGGATGAATCTTCAGCCAGGAATATTGTCCGGGGGCTGGTGCTGGTGGTGCTGATGGTGCTAGCAAGTCCTTCTCTACCTAACCGTCTGTGTCGACAAGATTCTCGCTTATTCTCCGATATATCGTGGTCTCGAATCATCGATCCCTACCAATCTATTGATTCTTGCCAGGGATTCCCGGCAGCGAGACCCAAGAATCACGACCAAACGAATCCCGGGGAGGGGGGCTGAATTGAACCTTAATGCGGCTCCTGGATGAGATCTACCAGAGGACACGGACACAGTGCTGCCTCCTTGAGTAATGAAGGCCATCATTTGACTTTGCCTGTCAGACGAAAGACAGCCACTTTGACATGATAGTCCTCTGAATTAACGTGGGTGGCAGCCGATCCTATCATTGGGCCCAAGGAGGAGAACGAGAGAACAGGAAAAGAAGGTTAGGTTCGATTTGACTGCGGATTTGCGCTACACAGCATTTCCTTTTCCTTTTCCTTTTAGCGGGTCCTCAATAGGACGCCAGTTACTCATAAATCATACCTCATAACTAATTTACTAAGCTGACCTACTTAACCTAATTAACTGATTACTCTTTTTTTTTTTTTTTTTTTGGTCAAATGGAGATTGAACTCCCAAGAAATTGGCTTGATACTGGTCACAAAGGCTACACAAGCGTAAAACTCAACCAAAAAGACTTGCCATCATCTAAGGAAGGTTGTCTGACTTATCGGGCAGTCTGCCCTAAGATAACGGTCTCCTGGAAGGGGCAAAAAAAAACACCAAAAACCAAAAACAAAACAAAGCACACCAGCCACCACTAATCATCTCAGCTAGTCTGGGCGTGATGTATCACAAACCAAAAGCACCACTTCTCCTCCCCCTCTCCTCCCCGCTGAGACCCCCCTTCCCATCCCCTCTTCGTCCGCCATCAATGCGTTGTCCGAACCCGGAAATCCACTCTAGTCTAGTCTACCTGTCGACTCGCCTACGGCACCATCCCTGGCTCTACCGGTTTCCCCTCAACGGACCCGTTTGGGCCCCACGCCACCCCGGTGGCTTTCTACAGTAGTACTACAGTAGTACGTACGCGACCCTCAATATACTTACATGCCTAGTCTCATGGTCAAACATATAACTTTAATCCCCATCCACACATGAGCCACGTCCGTCATGGAGCGGGTAATGACCAGGGTTGTCCCGGCGTGCCACTATGCAAGATCACCTCATGTATCAGATTTTGGATGCAGTTCGCCACTCCCTCCTTCCACCTTCATTCAGTCTCCAGCTCATGGGGCTGAGATGAGATGAGCTGGCTGGCTGGATGGATGGATGGTCTAGCCGGGGCTGGCACGAAGCTCAACTCACATTATCCCCCCTTCGCAGGTGAGAGGGTGAGGTCCCATTCTCAATCCCCGAAACGAGGCATCGCGATCAGATATCCGATCAAAGGCGAGACCAAAGGTCGGGTGATGTGGTGTCGCCGCCGCCGGCAAGGCTATGACGACTCGTGCCATGTTTCAGGTTCACAAAGGGAGTAGGTAGGATTCTTCAGTGATTCTATGGTTCCATCGGATCTCGGTAGAACTCTCTCTCGATAGAATGAACCCTCGAATGGCCCATGGCGCCATGCACCATCCCCCAATCTCCTGCCGGACTGTCCGAATCCGTCTCTGGACACTTTGCCCTTCCGGCAACAACCACCTTGCCTCATCATCTCTACCTTGCCTAATTATTGCACGCTGCTTCTGGGCCCAGTGCGAAGTGGCCTTCGGTATAAGCTGGCTGAATCCTTGCCAGTCTGGCTTTGCGTTCCAGGCAGGCCCTACCCGGGGAAGGGGGAGTCGAGATGATGGACCCGCGATGAGGCCTGGCGAAGTGTCGTCCTCTCTACAGCCTCTGACAGGTTAAGAAGCTTCAGGCATGCGCAATTGACATGCAAGACATCATCAGCCGTCAGTTCTCCATACAGGGCTACCGTGTATCTATCATATGTGGCCCAAGGACTCTGTAACCAGACAAGAACGAACATCATCATCATCAGCCCTCCATCTCACGGGATCCACCCTAGACGCATTCCAAATAGCCTTTCTATTATTACCACCGACCCCGTGTCAATCCGATCAGCAGGCAGAAAACCATCTCAAATGAAGTAAAATCGTCGGGGATCCTCGAATTTGCACCCCCCGGAAAGAGCCTCCCACCTGACCGAAGCCCGAGGTCGGGCGAGCCCCGAGTTAAACCTACTGCACTGTACATTGGTTAGTTACATTAGTACTAGGTACTACTAAGTACGAAGTAAACCTCTCAACTCGAGGCTCGCACGGGCCCTCGATCCTCCCTTCCCTTTAGTTTACTTCACCTCAGAATCTAGGGGATGCAAGACAAAGGGAGTCTATCAGAACTGCGAATCCCCACATAGGCAGGCAGCGGGCCGCAGGATTCGAAACATCCTTGCTCTTTTTTGTTCTCCCCTCGCGACTCCGTATTTAAAGTTGAAACCATTTGCCGACGGATTCGCGTTCACATACCAGATTCAGAGAATGGCATGGCATGGCATCTGCGGTACCGTGCGGTGGCCGTGCGGTGGGAACTTTCGGCGCAAAGTACAGTCAGTCCAATTCAATGTGAAGAAAAGATGCGTTGCTTTGTGTTCATCCCCAGGTTCCAATCAGTCGACTAGGTATCCTCCTCCGAGAATTCCCGGCCAATCAAGCCGAAGCAAATCTATTGACCCCATCCTGCCCTAGCTGGCTTCCAGGTTCTCTCCAGGCTGGGCTGTCCTAGGTATACAGAGTACAGTGGCTACGTGAGCAACACAAGAGGACTGACTCAGTCTCGGACTAACATGCCATAGAGATCTCCGCTCAGTGTAGTGTAACCTTCCCTATGGCCCAGTTACGCAGCTCTTGTCTCTAGCTATCCCACTTCCCTCGTCTTCGCATGACTGATCAACACTCTGGGGACTTCCACTAGGGAAAGATCCATGACCGCGTCTCGAGCAGCCTGATTGTGGTGTGCCGTCTCGGGACACGTCGTTTTTACGGCATTCTCCGCTGTCACGACGTTTGTGTATACTCGCGGTGTCTGTGCAGGAGTTTTTGGTTTATGGCGCGCTTTGGAGTGTTGATGCGCAGCCCTCGGCGGCTAAGTCTGTATCGACTCACAGTCGCGCTGGAGTCTGAACGCGCCCGCCAAAATGGGGGCATTGCATGAGCTCCAGCTTTCATTCCCCAAGCTGAAACCCCCATGGCTGCGTGCTCTTCGCATGCCAAACGACACATAATGCGGCTATCCGCTCTGTCAAAGTGGGCTCAAATGGCAACAAAGGAAGTCCAGTCCCTCCTCTGCCACCTCATTCACCATCAACTGAAACAAACCACCACTGGTTCAATGGAGGCTGCTCTTTGACGGCTGTGATTCGAAACAAAGACAAGCATCGCTCTGCTGTAATTGTTCCCGAAATAGTACGAGATGTCTTTTTTTTTTTTCTTTCTCCCCGCTCTACCCAGCAGCCTCAATCAGAACAAACCGTCTGCACAATGGCTAAGTCGAGCCTGTTGATGTGCGACTGCCGGATAAAAGCTCTCAAGGCGTCAGTATGTCTACACCGTTCTACTTTCACGCTCTGGCAATCTGTTGTCGTTTTCACTCGATCGAACTAGTTTGAACCGGACGAGGTTGAATTTCCTGGCTTACTCTGATCTCTCTTTGCTTTGTTCATCTCTCTCTTTGGGTCGTCGCTGGCGTTTCGCTTTCCTTTCGAGATGGCGGTGAAATCAGCGAGTTGGGTCAGCCCGGATGAGCCCCTCAAGCATGAAAAGTCTAGTGATGACCATTCCGATGACGAGGGCTCAATTGATGAGGGCTCGGGCGACGAGGGCTCAGATGGCGAGGGAGAACTTGTCACACTTGAGCTTCCCAAGGTGGATGGTGCCGACTATGGAGACGAGGAGCTCGAAGCCGAACTCACCAAGCTCGGGCGGTTTGAACGTTCGAGCTATGCCATCCGCCGTCCACGAATGTTCATTCCGGTCCGGGACCATGAAGTCTTCTCGGTCACGGAACAGCCTCTCGCTGGCACGAGGCTGTTCCATAAGTATCGGGTCGGACGGACGACTTTCCGAATCCTGATCGGCACCGAACCACCGCCGGGCCCGTCCGACCAGACGAACACGCTGGGATACCAACTGCTCCGGAGAGATAGGGCGGCAGCCGGGTTGTTCCTCCTGAGCAGTCTTCTGCCGGCATTGTGCCAGCCGTTCTTCAAGGCGTATGCGGACTGGACCGGCGACGATCTCGAGAGTCATCTCCTGCGTTCCGAAATCCACTTGCAGTTGGCGACCAACAAGGACGGACTGCCCACGGTCATCAACCTCACTCCGCCGGGCCATCTGCCCGCCTTCACGGTTCGTCAGGGCCCGGGATATGACAACACCCCCTGGCCGGACCTAAGCATTCCAGCCGGCTTTCCCCGCTATGAACTCGCGGCAGCCACAGTGGTGGAGACAATATTCCCGGATTGGGTATACAAGGTTGAGATCAACGGCACGCCGCTCATTTACAAGAGAGGGAAATGGCGGAAGTGGCTCACACGTGAGGCTACCATGCTTCGGGAATTGGAGGGGTGTTCCCTTCGTATACCCAAGCTGGCTGGCTTCATCGGGTTGGACAGCCAGGGTCCAGGGGTTCTGATATCGTTCATCCCCCACGAGACCACTCTGTGGGATGTTCGGAACAACATGCAGACGACGGATCTCGCTGTGCGCCACAAGTGGTTCGACCAAATTCAGGGAACTGTCATGGTGCTTCACCAGAGGGGTATGACCTGGGGAGATGTCAAGCCAGACAACGTCCTGATTGACAGCAACCGGGACGCTTGGATCATCGATCTAGAGGGAGGTGCTACGAAGGGCTACGTGCCCCTAGAGCTGACGGGAACAGTAGCAGGTGATCTTGTGGGGTTGAAGGCGATCCGTGAATTCTTGTGCTTGCCGGACTGAAGAATAGATGGCTGGCTATGAATGATCAGAGGCTTGGAGCCCTGTGATGGTGTACCTAGTGAATCCCTGATCAGTTTGTTTGTTTCCTTCAGAATGTGACTACATGTTTTATTTACCTGGCTTTTCGAATGGCTGGTGCGCACACCGATTTCCCACTCTTTGCTCCCGTTTGTTCCGCTCTTTCTTTTCACATCGCTGGTGCTACGACGGACGGCTCCAGACCGCTGACCTGTACTGTTCCATGACTGAGTCAGTTACTATCTGTCTGATGAGTGCCCAGCCAGGTCACCAATCTAGTTTGTTTTTCTCCCCCTCCCCGTTTGTCTCCCCTCCGTGCAGAATGCCGAAAACAAACAAAGCATGAGTCTTGTAGTTCAATCCAGCCATCAGCCACACGCTGCGTCATCGATGGTTTAGGGTGGGGGGGGAGGTGAAAGAAAGATCTAGCCTTTTGTCAGACGAGCTCCGGAAGCCTCTTCCACAGCCGGCGTTGCTTTCAAAAAAGGGCCTGATATCTGTTGGAGACCACCGTCATATTATCCCGCCATTCACTTCTCCCCTCTCCAGATAGCCCATCCTTACAACTCGACCATTGCCTCCCCCTTTGATCCCCGCTGCTTTTCGAACTAACACCCTTCACGGGGGCCCATCAATCACCACGAACGCCCCCAATCCACCATGGCCCAGAGCAGAGCCCCATCGTCAGAGATTCCCGAGGCACGGTGCGGCAAACATCCCTTGCGGTACGAGGAGATCATGCGCCGTGGCACATATGTCAATGCCCAAGGCCAGCTGGTCGATTACAACTACGTTGAAACTCACTATGATTCGGATGGTTTCTGCGCCGTGGAGAACTGCGCCTTCCGGATGTACAGTGGCGTCTGGAGGTGCCATGTCTGCCGTCGAGGCCCCAACACCGAAGGACGCTGTGACAGGAACGTGGTGAGGGATGGCAAAGGCAGAATTTGCAACCATCAGTGCTGCCACCGGTGTCAGGCTTGGGATCCCTAAGCGGACAGCCGGTGATCATTCCGGCGTAGTGGCTTTTTTTTTTTTTTTTTCTTTTTCGTGACTTCTGATCTTGATCATCAGATCAGGTTGGTTCTTTGGATTGTGTATCGAGCCGGACGAAATTGGTCCACGAGCCTGCAAGTGTGCAATAGAGGCCGCGACGCACGTTGTTTCATGGATTCGGAATGGAAGTTCTTCTTTCCTCTTGCAAGAACTCTACTGAAGACAGCGTGAGCCACCAATTGTCTGGGTATAGTTCAACCTCTCCATTGTGAAAGAAAAAGACATGTCATGTGCTGGCGCAGCCGCAGTGGAGGTCCAGAGACATATATATCGGCCATCACACCACTAGATTCCACTTTTCCTCCGAGCTGCCAGTATTGTTCGGACCTTGGACCAGAAAAAAAAAAAAAAAAAAAGAACAACATCTAGGAGAAAAAAAACCCTTTCGTAAGATAAACAGATTCGAATATATAGCCCGCATCAGTTAGGTCTACAAAGCAAGTATAAAGGGAAGCACTGCACCCATGACGGAATAAATACTCCAAGCACAGACACCGATTCACCCGCGCATCTGACACGTCCTTATGTCCACCCACCAAGCAGGCCATGGATACGTCTGCAATGCACAATTCTCTGCAAGTTGCATACTGAGCAGACAAAGGTATTAACCCACCCATCGGATGCGAGAGCCGTGCGCCGTCGGAGGACAACGCACCCTCCCCCTCCGGGCAGACGATCCACTCGCACGATCGCTCAGATGGCATATGCCTGGATAGGTACAAAGGTAGGTTATATGTCATATACTTATCGTCATCTTCACCGGATCAGAGGACTGCATCGGCGGAGAGACGGTCCCATGTAGGCGTCCAACCATATACAGACGATTCAGAGTCGGGGCTGGCCAGACGCCCAGGCAGATACGAATGCAGCTCAATGCATGCTCGATGATTCCGGTGGAGATTTAGGTTTGGCACCACGGTCTTGCGGGCTGCACGAGACTGGGGACTTGGCTTGACTCTTGAGTGTACTGCAGATCAAAACTACTGAAGATAGAAAGACGGGAATTCGATGGGTTCAAATATGGACGATGAATTAATGGAATACAGAAGCAATGCACTAGCATGCAACGAAGCAGCGTAAAACAGCAAAGGAACGTCTATAACACACGTCGAGACCGCTCACTCGGGCGAGTGCCCGGCGGCCAAAGCGGGAACTGTCCACCAACCCGTGACCGTGTCTCAATATTAAGCGGGATAAACACAAAGGTAAAACGATCATTTCTTCGAAGGCAAGCACTGCTCCGCAAATGTTGCTCAACCCAATATTCAAATTATTATCATAAGAACAGCAGAGTACTGGGAATAACGACCAATTGCTCCTCAAGCAACTTTACACACAACGACCATCAAAGGAGTTTAACAAAAGCGGTACACACAAAGAAGCACTATCGGGTGTCCTTTACAAAAGGTACTGGACGAAAGCACCGAAGATGGCAGCGGCACCCATGGCGGGGACGTTGACAATGTTCATGACGGAGGCGCTGTCGGTGGAGGTGGAAGAAGCAGAGCTGGTGCTGCTGGTGGAAGTGGTGGTGCCGGAGGATCCGTCCTTGGTGGTGGGGTGGGAGGTCTGGGTGCACTTGTAGGTACCACGGATGACGTTGCTGCTGTGCAGCTTCTCGAACGTGCTGCAGGTCAGGTTACCGGTGCTCTGGACGTTGAAACCACCCTTGACCTCCTCGAGAGCGGGGAGAGAGACACTGGAAGCAAGTCAGTCTATGCACGTGAGTCTGTCCATGTGTAGGGAACTTACGAGTTGAATTCACCGCTGAAGTCAATGGCACCAGTAACAGTCTCAAGGTCGGGGAAAGAGATCTCCTCGAGCTTGTCGTTACGGGCAATCTGGAAACCACCGTTGACGGTCTTGAGGACGGGCATGCTGATGTTGGCAAGGTCGGAGTTGTCGTCGAAGACGAGATCACCAGTGCTGGTGAGGTTGGCGGCGCTGAAGTTGGAGAAAGTGTTGCCCCAGAAGCCGAGCTGTCCGCTCAGCTCCTTGAGGGAGGGGATAGAGACAGCGCTGACGTTGCGGAAGGTCATGTTGGTGCCACCGGCAAGGTTGGGAAGGATAATCTGGAGAGAGTCCAGGTTACCCGCGAAGTTGATCAGACCAGTGGCGTTGGTCAGGTCGTTGACGTTGACGGTCTTCAAGTTGGTGTTCTCGGTGATATCGAAAGTGCCGACGCTCTTGAGGGAGATACCGTCCAAGCTGGTAAGACCGGTGTTGGTGATCTCGACATCGCCAGCCTCGGAGACACCCTTGGTGAAGTCGAGAGACTGGAGCTCAGGGAGGGCGGTCCAGGAGATGGCACCGACGCTGCTCAAATTGGTCAAGCTGAGGGTGGTCAGGGTGGTCAGACCGTTCAGCTTGAAGGTGTCACCGATCGTGGAAAGGCTGGTGGAGGTGAGCGAGGTAAGGTTGCTGGCGCCATCGCTGGAGAGTCCACCGGTGATCTCGTAGGGACCGTTGATGCTCAGGTCACCAGAGAAGTTCTCGCTGATCTCAACGTCACCGGTGAGCTTCGTGCAAGTGGCGTAGCTGTCGGCATCGCTCTGGCTGGCGATCTTGATGGTGCTGCCGCTGCTACCACAGCCTGATTTCGTGGTCAGTAAGAATTGCAACAGTCACGTCGGCAACCCACGAAGGGATTCACTCACTGGCAGCGAGGGCGACCTGGGCCGCAGCGATGGCGGGAATAGCGTATTTCATGATGGCCATTGTTTCGTGTTCAGTTTAGACTGTTTGAATCCAGAACTCAACGTTAGCCTTGGAAGAACCGCGATGGGGGGATTTTAGAAGCCTGTCTTCCAAGACTGGCTGCAAGAGTCTGACATGCAGTATCGGGCTCACTCGACAGCCGATGCGGGAGCAAGCAGATCTATTTGAGCGATGCAGGAAGAGAGTGGGACAATGAAAACAAACATGTTAACCTACCAATGACTGGAGAGTGGATTTTTGTCAAGTCTGGGCAAGGCGTGGCCCTTTGTAGTCAAGTTAAGCGTAAGAGCTGGAAAGGGGTGGAAGCGAAACAATAAATAAACGAATGGAAGAAGGGAGCTTCAACGAAGGAGAAGCTTTTTTCAGGTTGGTTTTAGCGATTGCCTTCGAGGGAAGGAAAGAATCGGTTTGTTTGGGTGCGGCGGATTAGGCAGGCACTTTCTGATACGGAAGAGAGAAGAGAAGGGAAGAAGAGAAAGGAAGAGAAAGAAGCGAGCGAGTGGGAAGAGGAGAAGAAGGAAGAAAGAAAGAAAGACTGGGATAACAAGAAGGGAAAACCACCAAGAAAGTGGGAAGGAAGACTTTCAGGGAGGACGAGAAAGGAGTCGTGGCCCCGAGGTTTGGTTTGGTTTGGTTTAGTTTAGTTCAGTTTAGTTTAGTTCAGGTGGTGGACCTGAGACCGGGGGGAAAGCCAGAGAGGGGAGAGTGAATCTCCTTGCAACATTACCGGACTGTGTATATACACAGCCAAAACAGTACAGTACACTGTAATTTACTGAGGACTGGAAGTAATTGTATGGGAGTCGACAGACTGAGACTCCGTACTCAGTACCTGAATGAATCGGGCTCGGCTGGGCTAATCAACTTCCTTCCAGTCCAGTTTCCCAGTGGAGACAGCTGGTGAAGTGTCTGTCGAACGTCGATGGTGTGTCCATGGTAACGAAAGTACCGGGAAGGCGGCGGGAAAGAATAATCAACCGGCCACCAGCATGATCCAACCCACAGGAATCCGGTTCTTCTGAATTTCTGACCGGAAATCCGTCTATCCTAGGCCTTCTTAGACTGCTCCATCCTGTAACACTTCACCAATGATCATGCCTGACAACCCTTTCTGATTCGCTCAGCAGCCCCTTCCCCCCCCCCCCCTCCTCCACTCCTCCCCCTTCCCCATCATCATACCAAACAAAATGTCTAATTGTCTCTGCTTCCAAGACAAAAAGATTTGCTGCACTATTTGTAGTGTTTACATGAGTGCTGACTGGTGGTTCATAAGTTCATCCAATGATTCAACACCCTCGCTCTTCGCTGCCCTTTCTACACGGCACCTGGCAGGTAGCACCTACTACGGGGTTGGGAACAGAGTCACCATTGACCCCGACGTCACACATGTCAATTGAATCTGAATTGAATTCTAGAGACAGTACGGATTATTTTACATCGGTACTGCGAGTGACGGGGTAGACTACCTAGACTCTCTCTCTCGCTTGTCAACGATTCGATTGCGACCCATACAGCGGAAATTTGACTGTGCGAAATGAAAATGCCCCCTTCGATGGAATGCAGCCGGCGATGCGTCGCGGGAAATTGGGCTGGGAGCGAGGTAAAATGACGATGATGCACCAGCACAGGCAAGGCAAGTCGATACAAAATTAGCATCTCGCCGCTAGGAGGGGCCAGACCTCTTTTTCATTTACATTGCTTAGGACGCTCCCGCAGGACCTATCTGTTCTACCTGATATGTATTTGACACCCCGTCTGCCCCCCTCTGCTCCCTTCCTCACGCAACCATTTTAATTTCAGATTCTATCATTAGCCAACATTGGTCGATTATTGAGTTGTCCAGGACTGCCGGGGCCTGGATGGCACGTTTCCAAGAATGTTAAAGGCTAAGTGTTGTTATTGAGCCGAGTCGTAGCATAGTGGTCGATCCGAATTTATTGGAATCTGAGGGAGCCCCGCCACTTGCAGACTACGAAAGAGACCGACGCGCGACTCTTGGCTTCTCGCCTGCCGTACGTTGGTATGTGCCTAGCAACGACCACAGCAGCAGGTTGGGGAATTCCACTGTTCACAGCTCAGGAATCAGCCATCATTGTGCCTCATCTTGACAATATTTTCTGAGAAGTCAAGACAACTATTGTTGGGAGCATATAGCTGAGATCTCAGTCTTAGAGATTTCATCATCATCATTCATTGCTTTTCCTCTTCGCCTGCAAACTCAATTTGTATGCGTATCTTGGCTTCAGGTACGGGTGGGTACCAGACCTGAGCGAGAGCGGATAATCAGATGCCCTCCCAGGAAACCTAATAATAAATAAACCCACTGAGTGAGAGTGGGTGGCGAGACAGGCAGCCCATCAAGGGCGGGATTATCACGTGCCGCTATCTTTCATACGTAGCACCACTGTAACTTCCATACCAGTGGTAGTGAGACCCACATCGCCTGGGCAAAGGCTGGAATTGTGAGCATATCTGGTAATACCACTAAGTTGTAACTTACATACCGTACAGGCTATGTACATTTGTCCGGGTGGATAAGCCTTCCGATGGATAGAAGTAAAGTAACTGCCCAAGTGTGCAGCTAAATCGGAGTAGCAGGATGTCATAGGTCCATCGTCGCCGACCTGTGGCGATGACCTGAAACACTCATGAGATGACTCTATCTACGTGCGCTATCAATGGTGTTCAAGCGATACACTTGCATTATCGTCGATACCGACCCTGTAAGGAAGCTGCTGTTGGATGATGAAGTAGTACCACTTTCTTTCTCATAGTAATCATCGCAGGCATTGATGACCCAGCGAGGAGGGGACAAACGCAGGACTAACCGAGCATCTGAGAAATTCCTGGAAATTTGATCGTCATGGTCACTGCCGCTATTGCTTGTTCCTCCTTGATCGGCTTTAGTTCTTCAGCTACTATCAGACCCATCCAAAAAAAAATAAAAAATAAAAAATAAAGAAAAAACTCCACAACTTATCGGTCGCAATAATCAGACCCAACACGGCAATTTAACCACCCTTCTTAAAGTGGCGCAATGCGCCCTTGCGATGCAGAGCAGAGAAACAATGGCAGATATGTTAGGCTCACTAGGGATACTATGTAAGTCCGTCGACATGCTTGTGAAAGTCCAGCAGGAAAAAACATCTAATTTGCATCGAGTCCCATGCAAACCTCGGTGGTAAGTTAGAGTTGTTATTGCTCTGCATGAGGTTCGAGGTGCCGCCGTAATCAAGACGCATCAAGGAAGATAATGTTTACCAGCGAGCACGTTCGCCCTAGCGCCTCGACGACGCGGGTGGCTTGCCCCGGCTAACGACTGTACTAGTAAACTAAGCTAATCCTCGACTCAGTGACAGTAGTGTAGTCTAACTTCTCCTTTTAGCTGATAAGAACAAAGGAACTCCGTGACTATACGGAGTAAATGGCAGCAGTTCTGTGATGTCTTGTCAACAACTGCATCTAGAAATCAGGCGTGAAATATTGCTGTTCTTCTACCGGATACAACCACAATCATGACTGATGCGATGTATACAAACACCCGCTCCGGTGTCTTCAGGGTATCGACGCTCAACGTGCGCCACTGGTAGTCCTGCTCTTACATCGCACTGCGATAGAGAGCACGCTCTTCTTACGCGAGCCAAATGATCAATGGCGGAGATCCTAAGCCTACAACCATTGAGACACGTCTGTCTCTTCTCATGGCGGCGGCCGCATCAGAACACATCCTCATGCCGCCCGTTGCCATGCATGATTCATACTTCAATTGTCCTCATTAGCCGAGAAAAGCTTTCGCTCTCATTTCTAGTCCCTTGTTAATAGAATATCAGGCTCTTCCAAGCGTTCTAGCTGCCTACTAGTTGGTTTTCGGACCCCATTGTAAGTCCTGACCTCGGGACCTCCCTTCATCAAACAGCGACCAACACGGCCGTTCTGGCCCCTAACCTGAACATACTCGGTATCAAAAGCATACCATACCAATGCAGACTGTCCCGTTCTGCCACACAAACAGACATACTGTGAGCAGATGCATGCATCTCGAAAGATGCATGCCATCACCTCCTACCTCCTACCTCCTACAAAGAGTCAGTTGACCTTCTCAGAGTTATACAAGCGACTAAGTGAATGACCCCCACTTTGCTTTGTTTTTTTCGTCTTCTTTTCGTGTGGATGTGCAACTTATACTACGACCATGGTCCGCTCAATCGATGACGCAAGCCTACGCTATCGGTATCGATCGTAACGTTGATGTTTAGATTCCTTACCAATGAGCTCATGGTATCTAGCCCCCCTCCATTGGCTGTCCAACTGTAAACCTGCCCCCTTCCAAGCTGACCCGCCACAGGAACCAATTCCCTGGGCAGGTATGCGCCACCAATTTTCGCCTTCAAACCTCCTCCGTGAGTGGACGCAAAAAAGAATCTCAGCCAGCAAAAGAACAAGAAAAGTGTTTTTCATGTCAGCCACACTCAGTACCAAAACAAATGCTTGAGACATGGCCAATCGGGCCCTTTCCAGCGATTGGGCAACGGGAGTCTTCCGTCCACAGCCAGATTCAAAGTTCCACACTGGAAGAACTCCCATGGAGTTTACATATATGGATATATTGGGTGGTTCCACTGCTGTCGCGATGGAGAACTGCAATCTGTTCATCAATTGTCCATGCTTCTTACTGTACCATCTCGGGTTAGAGCGGCGAGAGGACTATGTATCGTGCTCGAGAGTAGAAGCGGTCGTAAAGGAGGCGGCCATAATGAAAAAGGGGTAATCGGCATAGAAGTTGGAAGGGCTAGGTCTGGCCGTGTGATGTGAGCTGAATTTGGTTCAATGTGGGCAGAACTCCATTGATCACATAGCAATTGACATATCCCGAGGACATTGCGACCGTGGAATGTCTGAACCAGGTTGAATGTCTAGATCCGGAGACAGCATCGAGCTCCAGTAGTTCAGTACGCACGGGGAATATCTTGTGGAATCGACTAGCCAGCCTTTGTTGTAACGATTACTGTAAGTCGACCGATTGACTGGGGCTTGATAGACAGCATTGGAGCAGGAAAGAATTAATTGACTCAGAGAACCAGGTCGTGTACTGCAGAATGCGGGGGAGATGGGAACATCGCAGTTCTCTCCGCGAGTGATGATTCTCGATGGCGAGCATGTATGTTGGAGATGCTCTCGACCCGGCGGCCGAGCTGAGCTTATCGGCGTCCGTTGCTCCCCCTGCACCTCGCGACGTCACTCCGCCAAGAGTAACCACTGCAAAGAGTGGCTGACGGCGTCAGAGAATGTGCATTCGCGCTTTCACTTCATACAAGCATTATTTATAATATACACTACATGAGGCTATGATGGCGTTACGGCGTTCCACTCGTCTGAGCGCACTGCCCACTAGCAAAGTCCCAGTGCTGCAACCAACCACCACTGCACCAGCCAGGAACAGCAGCAGCAAAGCTCAGCCGAGCAACAAGATCTCCAAAGCACGCAAACCATCAGCCAGGGGCAAGAAACCCCCGAAAGCAACGGCTGCAGAGCAGAATGCCCCTCTAAGCTCGACCCCAGCCAAATCTACACCGTCAACCGCCACGGCGACCTCCGACTCGGAGAACATACCAGCAGCGCCTGCTAACATCTGGGACCCCGTGCCTGGTAATAATGATCACAGCGCGAGCACTAGACCTCGTCACACCACCACCCCTCCTCCCCTCGACCGACCCGTCGAACCGCATCGAACTAACGCAACGCTCCTGACCCCGCACGGCTCCTCACTCGTCGCCTACCCTCCCGGAACAGAGAATGAATCGCCCAGCAAGACCGGCCGACCACGACCGACCGCCACGACAGGGACGCTCCTCGAGAAAGCGATAGCGCATCTGATCGCGACGGACCCTCGCCTCGACCCGATCATCAAGGCCCACCCGTGCCCGCTGTTCACCGCGGAGGGGCTGGCGGAAGAGATCGACCCCTTCCGCAGCCTGGTCCAGAGTATCATCGGACAGCAGGTGTCGGGCGCCGCGGCCAAGTCGATCCGCGATAAGTTCGTGGCATTGTTCAACACAGGAAGAAACGGGACGGATGCGCGGGACAGGTTTCCGACGCCCGAGGACATCATCAAGCTGGATATCGAGACGCTGCGGACCGCGGGCCTCTCCCAGCGTAAGGCCGAGTATATTCGGGGGCTGTCGCAGAAGTTCGCGGACGGGGAGCTGAGCGCGCGGATGCTGCTGAACGCCACGGACGAGGAGCTGGTCCAGAAGCTGACGGCCGTGAGGGGCTTGGGCCTCTGGTCCGTGGAGATGTTTGCTTGCTTTGCCTTGAAGCGCATAGACGTCTTCTCGACCGGTGATCTGGGTGTGCAGTACGTCATCGATCTTTCTCGTTGCCTCGCCGTCGATCGTAGTCCGCTAATAGTTCTTCTCTCAGGAGGGGATGCGCCGTGTTTACAGGCAAGGATGTAAGCAAGTTGAAGGGAAAAGGTGGAGGTAAGTTCAAATACATGGCTGAAAAAGATATGCTGGAATTGGCCGCCAAGTACGCTCCGTACAGGTACGTGTTGGACATGCTATGTGGCTGTGGGCGCGCCTCCTCGCTTACACTTATCCTAGGAGCCTCTTCATGTGGTACATGTGGCGCGTGACGGATGTAAATCTCGCCGTGATGAGCTCATAGCTCTGGGAAGAGTAAGTGATGATAGAAAGGCCCTTGGGCTGCATAGTCCACCGATGGGTGCATATGAGACTATAAATCTGTACATAGCCAACGCTATGGGCTAGCTAGCTCCCTAGATGTGACAGAATATCTTGGATAGCAAGGCGAGCATGGCCCGAAGAACCCATGCATTTGGTGTAGAATCCCGAGTTGTCTATTGGATGACGTGTACTATTTCGTTATCTACTGACAATCAAGGCATGGAGTGTCGTAAGAACGGCTACGATCATTGCAAATTGCAAACTGCAAACTGGATTGAAGCATAGCAAAGAACCAAGACAGATGGATTTGTACAGTATCAGTACACGTGGTTGAGCGACATATCAAAAGGTTCGATGAAGCGTTAGCTGGGTGCCAGTGGTGGGTAGCATCTCAGCTGAACCGGACAAGATAAACTCTTTCCCTCATTTCTATCCCGACCGTCCACGATTCCTGACGACGACAGTCTAATTCCGGTAACAAAAGGGCTCGAATTACTGAATCAATTTACCGGCGGACGACGAGGGTGTCGAGATCTTCACGCTCCTTCTTCTCCTTCTCGATCTCGCGGATGATGGGGCTCAGGTACTCAACATCCTGTGGCCATCGTTAGTATATGTGGTCGAATGGTTGGGAATGAGTCTGGAAAGGAAAGAGCGATATAGCCAGTCCATGCATCGTTCTCGAAGCTCCGTCCAGGTGACAAATCCGGCTCACGGGATTGGCCGAGTCTTTTTGCGGAGAACTGAACGGCTTATACTCGGAGGCATGGGATCAGATTCGACTCACCTCCTCGGGCTTGGTCTGCTCAGCAGGGGGGAGAAGGGTGTGAGAGACGGAGCACTGTTTCCGAGCTTCGTTAGTTTGTTGCTTCTTTGTGATATCGGGTCTTCAGTAGGGCGAACCTGGAATGCTCTGCGGATACGGAAGATGCGGTCGTAGGCCTCCTTGGGAGGGAGACGCTTGAGAGCAGTCTGAACAACGTCGCTCTCCTCGGGGATCAGGTCGTCGGCCCTACGCCCGGTCAGTTCATGGTGTCCTTCAAGGAAACGTGAAGGATAATTTGCCCAGGGCAGGCAGCGATGCGGGTCTGAACAGGGTTCACAGAGACTATCATGAGAATATGATGATATACCCTCCGGATTCCTTCGCTGCTGTACACCGGATACATCGAATGCCAGTCTGAGCAGGTTGAATGGCGAGGAGACCTACTTAAGACCAAGTCTTCTGTAGCCGGCGGCGTCGGTGTACCACTGGGCGAGTGGCGTCATCCAGCGCTTGAGCCATGGGCGCTTGACGATGAAGTTGGTGATGGAAGGAGCGGACATTGTGATAGATCCCAGCAGCGGGCGTGAGAAAGTCCAATTGACAAGGTGGTGTGGCGGGGAAGGACTGCGAGATGTCAAGGCAAGGCAAGCTTAGCAGGATGACCCGACGTTGGAGATTGTGCAAAACGGAGGTTCGGCGGGTGAACTTTCCCAAAAACATCCGAATCGGCGCCTGAGGCACTAATAGTTATCCGATTCTGTCCATAATATGTCTCACGTGATAGGCTGCCCGGGCATCCCTGTCGACACCCTGGTGGATGGCTTATGCCTCAGGCCTCAACGGCGCTTGGTGCCGGTCTATTGTGGATTCACTCCACCTGACTTAGAGCGTTGCTGCTAACTAACGCAATTCAATTCATCTTGCCCACACGACTCCGTCCTTTTCCGTGTCTTTGAAGTTCTTTGCTCCCACTTGAGTCACTGGCTTCTATGCTCATTGCCCTAGAATCTTCATCGCTCGCTAGGCATGGGGATTATCACTCGCTGAATATATTTTCACTTGACAGGTTCTGCCATTCCGACCCCGATAGGAACGTTAAGTCTATCTCCCAGACCCCGCCCCCGTCTGTGCCCCCGACAGGGTAACCTCGCAACGCATCAAAGCAATCGCTGGTCAGCCTCGGCTTACAGGGGTGTCATCAGCGCCTTCATCAGTTTGAGTATCGCCATTTCGTCGCCCGTGCTCTAAACGACGCCGCTCACCCGCCTTTCACCACGATTTGATAAAGGATCATACTGGGTTCCGGAGCGAGCACCGATATGCTCGGATCCGGGAACCCTCGCTGACATATAAAACGAATCAATAACTGCTTGCGCGCTGGCTGCGAACATGTATTCCGAAGGACATGGCTCGTCGGATGCCGCCAGCGGCTCTCAAGAGCAGCAGGTTCCTGCATCGCCCTCCACGCCTAATACACCGCCTCCCATGCTGACGAAGCCGACCTTCCTTGATCGTCTCGAGATGATCTCCACGCACATACCTGATGTCTGGATTACACCCTTCTGTGGAGCTAGTGCGGGTGTAGCGTCGGGTATTGTGACCTGCCCCTTGGATGTGATCAAGACAAAACTGCAGGCTCAAGGTGGATTCCGACGGCGCGGCAAGGCGGTCGAAACGAAGGAACTGTATCGGGGTATGCTTGGTACTGGAAGGGTAATTTGGCGGGAAGACGGACTTCGAGGCTTATATCAAGGACTGGGTCCCATGCTGCTGGGATATCTTCCAACGTGGGCTGTCTATCTGGCTGTCTACGATCGTTCCCGGGAATATTTCTACGAGACTACTGGTAAGACAAGCCTCTATTGTTAGTAATGACGCTGCTAACCTTATCCAATAGACAGCTGGTGGCTTTCCAGAGGGTACGCTTCTCTAACAGCTGGCGCCTGCTCTACGCTTGCGACGAACCCAATTTGGGTCATCAAGACGCGACTTATGTCCCAAAGCCTTAAATCCAGTAGTGAAGGGCTTCGGGCGCCGTGGCAATATAACAGCACTTGGGATGCCGCTCGGAAGATGTACAGGACTGAAGGGATTCGCTCATTCTATGCAGGACTCACGCCGGCGCTACTAGGCTTGACGCATGTTGCCATTCAGTTCCCCCTATACGAATACTTGAAAATGGCTTTCACCGGATATGGAATCGGGGAGCATCCTGATAACGGCAGTTCTCACTGGATTGGCATCACTGCTGCTACTTTTCTTAGCAAGGTCTGCGCTAGCACCGTCACCTATCCACACGAAGTGCTTCGGACGAGGCTGCAGACTCAGCAGCGGACGTCTCCAGCATCCTCACCGGAGGAAATCGCGTTCCGAGGTGGATTGGACCATCCCCCGGATCGTGGTCGCCCTCCAGGAGCGGCTTCCTCGGACGGCATGCCCAATCGGCCGCGATACACGGGAATTATTCGCACTTGCCAGACGATTCTCAGAGAAGAAGGCTGGCGTGCATTTTACTCAGGAATTGGCACGAATTTGTTCCGTGCTGTTCCGGCTGCGATGACTACCATGCTTACCTATGAATACCTCCGGAAGGCCATTTCGCATATACAACATGAAGGACGGCTGAAGCTGGAAGTGCAAGAGGGCAAAGCCAGTGACTCTTCTGATGCGTTATAAATATTAGATGATTCAATTATTGTTACGGGGACATGCAACGGAGGGATAATCGTGTTTGCTGCTTGCCGCTAGTCAGCCCATTGATGGTTGGAGGGACTTAAGGCTTTTCTTTATGGCGTGCTTACATATTACACATTGTTCTATGGATGATACCTCGGCCTTGTATCAATGGTGGTGCCGGGGTAAAATGACGGGCCCTGACATGTGAAGTTTCAATCATGTCCTGTTCTTGTGGTTCGCCGTTTTGTGGTACTGAGCGTCCTTTTCTTTCATGAACAGAATAAGTCATCAATGCAATTGTATATAGTCTGTCATACAGCTCTTTCCTCTCTGTCGTATCTTTTCTATTGTTTCCTACCTTATACTAGTTAGTATTCAGTTTTCCCACTATTGCCAGTATGAGCTCCTAGGGTCAACCTTCAAGGAGCTACCTAGCACTACGCAGTACTACTAGTAAGATAGTTACAGTGCAATGCTTCAATCGAATATCGTCAGTCCCGCCAGCCAATGAAATGCCGTTCCCTGTAAGCGGTACAGTCACGTGATACACACACTAAATATCCCGCCACGACTTTCAAAAAGGTTTCCTTCCCTTCCATACTCGCATCCTTGCTCAGGTTACCCTTCAAGCAAAACTGCCATGATGGAGGCAAACGCTTCAACGGAGGTGTCGATCGCGACAAGATGATCCGGGAATGCTCTGCCATTGACCGCACGCCACTCCTTAGAATCGATTCTGGAGTCATGATCATGATGCTATTTCCCCCCAGCCAGCATTCAACAGGCCTTGATGAAGGCCTACTCACAATGATCCGTTTTGCAGAGGTCATGTCGCAGCGACCGTTCAGCCCTCCCTCATCCTTCAGCACACTTTTTTTTCCATTGATATGATGAACATTTTTCAAATGGTAGATCCTGGTAGTCTTCATAAGGCCTGGGATATGACTATTCATACACTGAAAATTCTGACTCATGGATATACTGCTTCTTGATGTCGGTTGGGCTTGAATCGATGCTGCGGCTGATCACTGACCCTTTGTGGGTGGTGGACGCTGTTTACTGTTGTTATGGTCAGGTCAGACCCCAGGTCCACATACACAGGTACTGTCTACCTATGCCAGACTCTTCGGCCTGGAAGTTATATATCCTCTGCCACGTGGAGAAACAATAATGCAAAGTACAAGTTTATTTGCAGAACAAGACCAATTAAGGCATACCAGCCAGCTGTAGCCTGTAGCTCTTCTCTTTCCAAGCAAGACGTAAACATCGGGCAATTGAATCGTACGCGCCCAAATCAAGAGTCCTTGCCCCGGCTTTCCTCCAAAGCCTGCTGGACCCAAGAGGGTTGAGCGTCCGCCCGCTTGGGACGGGAACTGGTGGTGCTAGTGATGGGGGCAGAGGACTGTGCTTCGCGACGGGCAGTGTGGATAGAGCTGATGCAGTAAGAGCAGAGGATGACCGCCATGGTGAAGGCGGCTATGGGGGCATTGAGGGACTGGAGATCGACATGGTCAGATAGGGTTGGTATTGTGGTGGTCGTGGTGGTAGATTAGTCATTCTCATAGGAGTTGGGAGACAGAAGAAATGGGAAAAAATAGTACAGTCCGAGTATAATGAGTACTACACACACGCCTGTCAACTTACCCCCGATGATCGGCCCAATGTCTTTCCGGCCATGATTGAAAAAAAGCTTAGAGGAAGGGTGGGTGTTTTGATAGCGAGTAATTGCAAGACCAGTACGTAGCCTGTTCAGCAGCCACGATTGTTGTTAGTGTGACAGGCGTTCGGGGGAATAGTAGCCGGGGCCAGGGTTGTTCCGCGGTAGACAAATAATAGGGTGGAGGTGGAAACTGGGAACTGAATGGGCAGAATGGGCAGAATTATCAGATGAAGGCCAGGACGATAACTAGTCGAGCGGTAAGTATCGGGAACCGGGGACGAGGCCTTGAGTGCTTGGTAATGCCGCCTGCAGACCGTTCCCGTTGGCCGAAGTGCCCGCCATACCAGATCCAGACTAGAACGAACTGCTCCTCCCGCGGGCACTTGTAGAGTAGACTACTTAGTCAGTCAGTACGAGTGCAATCCTGTCGCGGCAACGCGATAAGAAAGGCTTCAACAATACGAATCAGCAGTCACTCACTCACTCACTCAACTTCCCTGTACTGCACTTTCTGTACTTCCTGTACCTCTTCGTTAGCTGCAGCAAACGGGGGAGCCAACGTCATTCCGAAGCCCGCGTTTCCTCGTATCTCCGAAGCCGGTCCGCGGAGGCAACGGGGTTTCTGGAAAGGGTTTAGCGCCGGTGAATAAGACGGACGGACTAAAGCTAGTAGTTCAACTTTCCCTCCCTCCATCAAATCAATCGACTATCAATCTTTCATCACACACCTCGCCGTCCAATTCATCAACCCTTTCTCTCACACCTCATCAACAACACACACTGCTTTCTACTCAAAACCACCATCATATCTTCCTAACACTGCACCGCACGATACCCGTTTCTTTTTCTTCGCCTTCCACACAACCACCACAATGTTCCGCCGTCTCGTAACAGTCGCTCCCCGCGCCGCGGGCGTTCTCTCGCCTCGCATCATCGCCCCCGCCGTCGCCGGCATGCAGCAGCAGACCCAGACCTCGAGCCTGCGGGCTTCCACCCCCTCGTCTCTCCAGCAGCAGCGCCGGGGCTACCACGAGAAGGTGCTCGACCACTACTCCAACCCCCGCAACGTGGGTTCTATGGCCAAGAGCGTCGACGTCGGCACGGGTCTCGTCGGTGCCCCGGCTTGCGGTGACGTGATGAAGCTCCAGATCCGCGTCGACAAGGACACCAACGTGATCAGCGACGTCAAGTTCAAGACCTTCGGCTGCGGCAGCGCCATCGCCAGCTCCAGCTACCTGACCGAGTTGGTCCGCGGCATGACCCTCGACGAGGCCGCCAAGATCCGCAACACGGATATCGCCAAGGAGCTGTGCTTGCCTCCTGTCAAGTGTATGTTTTCTTTCTCCCTCTTTCCCTTCGCTTGTTTTCTTGACAGCGTGGTACATCATGGTCAACACGTTTTTCTTTCCAACTAACTCGTCTTCCCTTTCTGCTTAGTGCACTGCTCCATGCTCGCTGAGGATGCCATCAAGTCCGCCATCTCCGATTACTACACCAAGAACCCCAAGGCTGTCAAGACCAACTTGGCGGGTACTGGTGCCTCGATCCCGGACCTCCATGCTCAGCCCGAGAAGGCGGCCCCCGTCGCTTAAATACGACAAAAAAACTTTGAAGAAAAAAAAAATCAATACCTACTTGAACCAATACAATTTGAAAAGGCGATACCATGATACGAATTATTATCCTTGCATCATTTTTTCCCCCTTACCCACCGGAACTGGATGCTGAGCAATAAATGATGGAACTCGAGTCATGATCGTTAAGCTAATGGTTCTTGTCTCTCGCAGCTTCAAAGCGAGAGACAAAACAAAAGCAACAGCTCTGGGACAAAACGTTCGCTGTTCTTTCTTCTTTTTCCTTCTTCTTGATTGTGGATCTGGGACGGAGTTATCTGTTTCTTCGCTTCAATACTGTACAGCAATTTTATGTCTTTTCTATTTTGTGTCTCTTTTTTTTTTTTTCGCAAGCTTTCTTCTCCCAGCTAAGCAAGGCAAGACAAGGCAGGCCAACTTGAATTTAAGTTGATTCAGTGATTACTACAATATATATCAAGATTTCCACACCTTCACCATTTTTCCCACTTGATTTCTTATGTGGACTGGAGTGCTGCCTGTTGTTGCAGCGGGATTATCTGATTCGCCACTATCGACGTAGTGCGGACTGACATCATCATTCATCCGTACATCTGATAATCGACACCTGAAGATTGAGGATCGCCTTGCTTGATGATGAAAGAAGAAATCTACCCATACCTTCTATACTATATGAGCCACTAAATATACACATAGCTTTTCTCAATAACATAGTCTATGAAGCCAAAATCACGGACCAAGATGCACAGAAACCACAGAATAAGGAGAATGGGGTTGAACGCCATAGAAATGCACAAACCGTGCGAAGCTGCAAGATGATCTCTAAAGCATTTTACTTCCCACTGAAAGCTCAAGAGCGGGCTCCTCGCGGTGCGAGTTAAACGGATGCAGATAAATCGGGACGGGGTGTAGTAGACTGTACAGAGGGATTAAAACAAGTGGCTCTATACCAACCCAAAGCGACTCTTCAGTGATAGGAGAGCCTCGTAGACAGAAAGCTTCAGTTCCACGCGCAGGAAGCCGGTCCATGCGCAAAGGTAACGCCAGAAGTTTGAAGGACGGAGAACACCGCCTGCCTCGTAAACGGCTTCCATTTGTTCCTCGAAAACTGTGCGAGTTGCGTAGCGTGCGAGAATAAGGAACGTGCGTATGGGTCCTTGGCGAGTTTGCAGGTTTTCGTCCAGACTGCGGGCTGAAATCGATATGTTAGAGTTATGCAGCCATGTTTAGCAGGAAGAACATTGACTTACTCAAGTCGTTTGTCTTTAGAATCAGAAGGATGATACGGGGAACTTGGCCCAGCAGTTCGACGAGTTGTTGCAACATGCCTTCGCCGAGTGCACCGGACATGCTCTCCCTCTCCGCTGACGTGCGGGCGGAGGTGATGTCCTTTTTCTTGAGAACCATGTAGTCTCGTCCAGTAATGGCGCTGGCGAAGAGAGGGAATTGCTCATCCGTTATGCCGGCAACTTTGCGCGCGGACTCCCGCATGCGCAACTCGTCGGCTTCGATCACCGCCAGCCAGAGCTTTGCATAGTTGCGACGCAGATCTTGGGGAATGTCTCGGTAGAGTCCATGGTCGTAAAGTACGACATCGAAGTTGTGACGGCGACCGTTGGGGTTGGGACGGATGGCGATGTTCCCGCCATGTGGATCGCAGTGCAAGGGAGCGTTGTCGCCGAAAATCATCTCGTTGAAGATATGTGCCAATGCAGCGGAAACCTCATCCCGGTCAATGTGATTGGAATCCAGGAACTCAAGGTCGTCGGGTCGTCGTCCGGAAAGGAACTCCATAACGAGAATACGCTTCTGAGCCCACATCACTAATAGTCGTGTTAGTCCGCCAATCGACTCGGCCACATGTATAATTAGGTAGATAACACACCTTCCGGAATGACTAGTGGGGCATCTGAATGCTTCTTGAAGTAATCCTTTGTCCGCATAGCATTTTCAGCTTCCATCCGAAAATCCAATTCTTGCGGCAGAGACAGGTCCATCTCTTTTGACAACCATTCTAAATCGTATTCCGGGAAGAAGCGCTTTAACGTCGAGAAGGTGAATCGAGTCAATGCCAAATCAAGCGGCGCCCACTCTGCCAATGCAGGATGTTGCACCTTGACCGCGACTTTCTGACCAGTTTCTTTGAGCGTAGCAACATGCACCTGCGCGAGGGAAGCGGCACCAATAGGCTGTGCGTCGAAGGACGAAAAGAGCTCATCAATACGACGACCAGTATCAGCCACGAACATCGCTTCGACGGACTCAAAGGACGAGACGGGGCATCTGTCTTGAAGAGGAATGAAGGTTGTCGTCCATTCCAAGGGCAGCAAGTAACCCATACTGCTCAAGTGTTGTCCTAATTTGATGAAGATCGATCCATTCTGCTCGAGAACACGTAGCGTGCGGTCCGCGCAACGCTTGTGGCAGGCCCGTATCGCTTCGTCCCTTTCTCCAGGGGTGGACGTTTCTTGCTTGAGAGTAACACGGTAACTGATTGCGCGAACATGTGTGAGTAAGCCTGCCCTACTCGAGCTTGGTGCTAGAAGAGGAAGATCGGGTATACTCACTCATTGATACAGATAGCAAGTGCACCGACGACTCGTCCAGTGCGCGCTGCCGCACGGTAAAAGTGCTGAACCTCATCCGAGTATGCTACTGCCGCAATGGCAATAGCTCCACCGATCACAACATATTTGAGTACTTTGTTGCGCGATTTCCCAGGCCCAGACTGCCTCGTGTCATTCCGTCCCGAGGTCGCAGAGGTGGATGCATTTCGAGTACAAAAGGGCGGTGATGATAGTGATTGATCGCCAACACGGCGTCGCTGGGTTACCAAAGGGCGTGAGGTTGCAGAGGAGAGCAACCGAGAAGTGATAGGAGAAGTCGACAGACGAGTTAAGGGGGAATTCAGGTGGGCAAGATTGGATCGTATGACCACCGCGGGATCAGAATTGGCAGAAGCCCGCAGCGGGATGCGGAGCGCCGCCCTCATCCCGAACACGAACAATGCCGTCTAGAGAGCGACCACAAGTCGACAGAAGCGAAGGCTTGGACGGTGTATTTCATCCGTGCCAGCACCAGAATCCCAGGGAGGGTTTGTTTGGTGAAAGATAGAGAGAGAGAAGGACTATGGATGGGAAGAGAAGGGAGGCAAGCGGGCAGGCAGGCAAGCCGCAGGTGACCGCCGCGTCGCAATTTCCTCGTACCTTTTTCTTGCCTGGCCGGAATTGCCAATCGCCGCTTTTCCGCTCCCGAAGATCGCCACCAACCGGAGGAGCTTTTACAGTTTTCTCTCTGCAAGATGCAGCACGCTGGGTGTAGTACGTAATATGTGAAGTATGTGAATAGTTCGCCTTTCCTTGGTTTCTTTGTACACCACCATCTCCGTTCTCCTTGACTCGACTATGCATAGCGCCCATGCGAACGGCCGCAATGGATGTCATCAATGGTTATTTACAAAATATCAGCCATTGCGACGAGCCAGTCCCAGGATCCTGGTAGCTTGTAGCTCCCTCAGACAAAATACAATGCCCTAATCACCACACTAGCCTACCTAAGCTGTCCGGCTTCCAGGCGTCCTGATGCAGCTCTGCTGGATGACGGGGAGAAAAGGGCCAGAAAGCAGGTCTGTAGGTAGCGAAAACTCAGAAGCAGAGTGCTGAGACCCCTTTCTCAATGCAGCCCAAACATGCCAGAAGGTTTGTCAGGTACCCTGCACCCGAATGGCACGATCGGTGGAGCACAAGCAGGGCTAGATGCGTTGAGTCAAGGGGCTTTGGATGTCCAATCTGCCTCAGTATGTGTCGGACGTCGGCGCTGCGGAAGAATTGAGCGACGACGCGATAGTGAGCTTGCAGGCCTGGACTCGTCTTCCGCCAGAAAATCGACATGAGATAGTCGGTTACCGACGCCTCGTGAAATCCTATTCCTCGAAGCTCCAGGTGCGGGATTGACTCCCGCCGTGAGGCTGGAACTTTGGCCATCTCGACTTCCAGGTCGGAGGGCCAGTGCTGAGCTACCAAGGGCATTTCGGGGATGGCGCTGGCTTTCTCGCCCGTCAAAGTAAGCCTTTGACTGACTGAACCGATTCATCTGTGGAGTGGTCGGGGCTGATTGATTTGCAAGCAGACTCGGTGGTGTGGTTGAATTACTCCGCCGTCGAACGCCTGGCTTGCGCTTTTCTAAGTGATATGATTCACTTTTCTCATTAGATTGTATCAGCTTGCCGGCCATGTCTCTGACCAGAATTGCTGGATCATGTTCGAGTTCTCGAATTGCGTCTAGGAGACCATATCTGGCAAGAAGGCCACCCTGCTCCTCGCTGGAATCGCAGATACTCGATATAATGCGCAGCATATTGAGCCGTACCGCAGCTTTGTTGTGGCGTAATTTCTGTCCAATCTTATTGAATATGTCGGGTCTTGCGAAAGTCGATGCAATCGGCGGGCTTAGCCTGAGAAGCTTCTGAAGTGGCTCGAGGAGATTCTCAAAAGCGTTTGCCTTGGAGACGGTCAAACACCTAACAATAGAGTCTGTGAAGGAAACTCGTTCATAACGGTTATCAAGGAGATGCTCCTCGACCTTAGCAGTTTCTTCTTGAAGCCTATAATCACGCGGTTAGCCTATGGTAGCCGTTATAGGAATCGAGCACTGACCAATTGACAATAGCATCCAGAGCAGTAACTTGCCAGTAAGGGTCTGATAGAAGAGATATGTAGAATGCGAGTCCCTTGTTACGCCACAGTTCGCGACGACCGACCTTCCCTGAATGCGCCATGTCACAAAGAATAGGCAAGGCAAACTCCTTCAAAGGCCGCTCTGTTTTCACAATTTTCTGGAGAAGAGGCACAATGCCATTCAAAGCTGCGTCTTCTTGTCGAGACTTATTCAGGCGACACATATTGTAGATAGTGTTGAGAATTTGGTTAGAGACCTCCCGGAAGTGTGGGCGTTTGATGGTAGACCGCAACAAGTCTGTAAGAACATCAATTGCATTTGAGTTCTGAAGCGCGTCCAGTGTTGTAGAAAGCATTGACAGGTTCTTAATGAACTTCAGCATAGTGATTTGGTGTGACGGTGTCATCCGCCTTAATTCCTTAAGGACTCCTAATCCGAGAATCAGTGATTGCCTTGGATATAAAGCGGTGTTCTGCGGCTTTCTTACTATGCAATACCGTTCGCTCTGCCACCATTTCCTTGACATGGTTTTCGGCCTGCGAGAATATGAAGAAGATGTTTGCAATCCGACCCTCGACGATCTCAGCCAATTCGCCTTCTTCATCCAGCACGCGACTGAGAACGAGTGATAAGGGATCCAAGACAGAGTTGCGTGACAATATTCTACAAAAGTCATTCTTTGGCGTAGAGCCCTGTTTCTTATTAGTTCTTGCCTGGTGAGTTCAACAGCGCATGCCAGTACGTACCTGCAATTCAAAGACACTCCAAATTCCGTTGACGCCAATAAGGACCAAGTCACGCTCATCCTCATAGTCATCTTCCAAGAACTCAACTAGAACATTGAGACCACCCGCACTAACAAACATCTGCAGGGTAAGAGTTGAAGTTTGGTACATCTGCTGCACAAATGCTGCCGCTTCAAGACGAATCTCTCTCGGGTATTTCTTGGCGGCGAACTCATTAATGATGGGGATCCCGCCCACGAAGCAAAGATTCTCCTGAATGTCGTAGTCATTGAAGATGATCGCATTAACAATGCGCAACAGGCAGAGTATAATGTCACGCCGACGGCATATGTCCAGTATTTCCAAGATCGGCAGCATTCCATGAGCGCTAATAATGATGTTCTTCGTTTCAGGTAGGTCGCAGAACACAGTCAACAATTGTTCGGAGATTTCCCCAAGTACGTCCTCATCCTGAGACGTTTTCAGGGAGCTCACAAGCCCTTCAACCTGGCTCTTAAGACGCGCATACTTGTCGCGTGCGATGTTAGCCTCCAAGTCTGTTTCATCGAGTCCCTCTTCGAGTTGTGCGAAAGGGTCATCTTCGTCATCCTGATCTCCAAGCCACGAGTTGTTAGACAACTTGGAATTGAGTCTCAAGGTGCTTTGATTTGAGCTGTTCTCGCTCTCCGGCCTATCTAGAGCAACCTCATCGGCACCTAGGATGTCAGAGAAATCTTCGTCGCGCTCGTTCTCAGCATACCGCTGAATTTCAAAGTCAGAGCGGGTGCGTTTGACGGATATCCGCTTTCTGAGTTGTGGTTCATGATCTTCAATGCGTTCTGGCGATTCTTGATACCGAACTAGTTCTTTGGATGGCGAGACTGGCGTATCGGTTTCTTCGTCGGTCTCCTTAACTCCGGTCAGAACTTGAGGAAAGCTATAAGGCACCACATGCTTACCTGAAAGGCGCTAAGTTTGTGGTCTAGAACATCCTCATTAGCATTGATGAGGTCAGTATAATCCTCGACCGAGTTTTCTTTGAAGAAGGAAGTCGGTCTCTGTGGTTTTAATGGTGGCATCGGGGTTTTGAGAATTGGCACATTGTGGTGAATGGCGGCTATGGTGGTCTTGGGCTGACCCGGTGCGCTCTCCACTCCTGCTTGTTGCAGAGGAAATGGGCGGATGGTTTGCAGGGGGTCTGCTTCGGCGAACCCGTTCAGGGAAGAATCATCGAAATCCGAAAAGGCATCATCTGACTTGAGCACTGTTCCATCGAGAGATGCAAACGCTTTCAGCTTCTCAGATGACAACATGCCTCCAAAGTTGTCTTGCGGTCGAAGATGAGGCAGCTGTAACGCGCTTGGGGATATAGCTGTGGCGAAGTCATCATCCCAGTTGTCCTCCTCAGTAGACTCGGGAGATCGATATCGATTGACATGCTTTGACACCGGACTTGGAAGTGTGTCTGTCGTTGGTGTATACCGAGACGGGCCCAGCTCTGGGCGGAACGATGCAGAGCCCTGTGTGTCGAACCTGAAAGGCTTGCGCAGCGTCCCCATTTCAGGAGAACGAAGAGCTTCGTTCCACTCTTGCACACTCTTCACAGCTTCCTCGTATTCGGTCGACTTCTTGGGAACCACCGAGTCTATTCTGCGAGCATTGACAATCCAAGGGTGCTTAAGAAGTTTTCTTGCCGATACACGAAGATTGGGATCTTTCTGAAAGCACTGCATCAAAAAATCCTTGACAGCCTGCGAAATTTCTCAGCATTGGGCAGACAGAAAAAAGGAAATTGCAGGAAACACTACTGACTGGTGAGGCTCCTTGTGGGAGAGGTGGGTGATCATCATTGACAATGCGGAATAAAGCTGGCATTGGCTGAAGATTATAATACGGCGGCTTTCCTTCCAGAAGCTCAATGACAGTGCACCCAAGACTCCAGATATCAGACGAAGTGGTTGCACCAGAGAGCTCTATAACTTCAGGAGCCATCCAGTACGGCGTGCCAACCACGCTGGATTCACTAAGCCCCGTCGTCCGACTGGCGACACCGAAATCTGCAAGCTTGACGAGGCCCTCTTTGGTGGTGAGAATATTGGCTCCTTTGATATCCCTATGGATGACACCTTGTTCATGCAGGTACAAAAGGCCGTGCAGCACTTGTGACATGTACAGGCCAACCAAGTTCTCGGGGAAGCGACCAAAATTCTTCGCGATGGAGTGCAAAGAACCATTCTCACAATACCTAAAATAGTTAGCGATTTCGTTCCCTCATAGTTAGAACAGATCCAGTACTCAAGTATGATGTTCAGAGTCTCTGCGGATTTCACAAAGCCTTGATATTTTACAATGTTGGGATGCTGCAGTTGTATGTCAGCGTCATTTCAACTTTGTATAGAGAGTGCTGAAGTCGTCGTCATAACATACATCCAAGTTTTTCAAGAGATCGATTTCCAACTGCGACACACGGAGTCAGCGACGACCGTGTGGATGATGAAGTGGCAATTCATATTACCATGATGACCCGTAATTCGCTCTTCGGTAAATCTGCCAACTTAATTTGCTTGACAGCAACAGTCTCTCCTGTATT